TAGTCTTGTTTCCTGGAGGACAGGTCCAAGAACTTTCAGCAATCCTATGCTATTGCCTTCTTCTTATAGCTGAGAGAAAGGAGCTGATCCAGACTCACTAGCCAATTTCTATGCTTAAGGCAGAATCAGAATTAGGATCCTTCACCTTCTAGTCTATCAATAGTACCTTTAAACATTACACTAAACTGGCTCTCTTTTCCCCAAACATGTCATCCTAGAACTCCCAGTTCCTTTTATAGATCATGATTCTGTACAATAAATAATTATATTTTTAAACTCTGCAATTCCTTGGTTTCTTTTGGTTCATGATCTAAAAAAAAATCCATGTGAAATTGTCATTATGGATCCTGTTGGGATTTAATTGAAGGTTGGAGTTTGGAAAGATAGAGGGCACTCTGATGTGCACATTATCCACTTTGTAATTAAAGTAAGTGCAAGAACAGGGCACTTCAGCCATGATAATTCATCTGAAATTTAATTTTCTTTGTGGGAAAAATCAAAACCAATTTCTTTTCCATTAACTTCAATATTGTGAAAAAAAAGACCTAGTGATATAACAGTAATCTTCACGTTACTTCAAACTATTCAGTGAGAAGTGGCCTGAAAATGTTATTTTCTTTCTGATTCATATTTTTAATCCAAGAGAGGTAACAGCAATGCTAACCATTCCCCTAAATAAATAATACAAGTCTTTCACATTCCATGATAGCAAAGATAGAACAAGTGACCTTATAAAGCCAGAAGCTTCTGGAATTCTTTTCCACAAGGTTTTCTGCAAAACAAACTTATATGTTTCTAGAGATAAAGAAATATCAGATGTTTCTTGCTTTTTGTACTACTATCTGTACTGTATTAGCAGAGTAGGTATGTGTATTTCACTATGAAATACACATTTTAAAATATCTGATCCAAGCAGATTATGTGGGCTTGGGGAGATTATGGGGAGGTTAATTTAAAAGCTCCTTGTATACTGAAAATGCTATAGGAATATATAGGATTAATGCATACTTCTATTTTTAGCAGAAAATGTATTGCAACAGGAAATTGTCTCCAATTATAAGAAACTGGTGTTACCTGCTTAAGTATGGATTTTCACATATACAGTGAAGGAAAAAATTATTTGATCCCCTGCTGATTTTGTATGTTTGCCCACTGACAAAAAATGATACAAAAAAAATCCATAAAAATGCATTTCAAAACAGTTATAAATTGATTTACATTTTAATGAGTGAAATAAGTATTAGATCCCTTCGCAAAACATGACTTAGTACTTGGTGACAAAACAGAGGTCAGACGTTTCTTGTAGTTGGCCACCAGATTTGCACACATCTCAGGAGGGATTTTGTCCCACTCCTCTTTGCAGCTCCTCTCCAAGTCATTAAGGTTTCAAGGCTGACATTTGGCAGCTCAAACCTTCAGCTCCCTCCACTGATTTTCTATGGGATTAATGTCTGGAGACTGGCTAGGCCACTCCAGGACCTTAATGTGCTTCTTCTTGAGTCACTCCTTTGTTGCCTTGGCCGTGTGTTTTGGATCATTGCCATGCTGGAATACCCATCCATGACCCATTTTCAATGCCCTGGCTGAGAGAAGGAGGTTCTTACCCAAGATTTGATGGTACATGGCCCCGTCCATAGTCCCTTTGATGCGGTGAGGTTGTCCTGTCCCCTTAGCAGAAAAACACCCCCAAAGCATAATGTTTCCACTTCCGTGTTTGACGGTGGGGATGATGTTCTTGGGGTCATAGGCAGCATTCCTCCTCCTCCAAACACGGCAAGTTGAGTTGATGCCAAAAAGCTTGGGTTTTGGTCTCATCTGACCACACTCCTCTGAATCATTAGATATTCACTGGCAAATTTCAGATGGGCCTGTACATGTGCCTTTGACTTTTCTGGATATTCTGTGATTTTGTCAGTTAATCTTGTGTGCATCAGAAATAGTGCTTTATCTTCTCTGACATTTTTTAAAGCTAACTTGAACATCTGACATTGGCTTTTCCAGGAAGGGCTTTAATCTATGTTAGATGATCCCAAACATTATTTTTCTGGCTTCATCTTCAATGACTTTTCATATGTGGCAATATTATTTTTGTCTTTTTTTTAAACAGATTGCTGAAATTGTTTGTTAACTTCTTTCCAAGATATTTGTTTCTTGTCTTTGACTTCATTTTTTGTAATTTCCATGCTCTGTCATCCAGTTTGCTTTCTGTTCTAGGCAGTCTTCTTAACTATTTTTTAAAGTTCATTCCACAATTCCTTTAATTGTCTGTCAATGAGATTCAGTACTTCAGAGCAATTCCTGAGGTTCTTAAAAATGGAGGGTGTATGCTCAAGGTCACATCCTAAAATTAGTTGGCTTTCTGCAGCTACTTTAGCTTAACTTGGAACTTTCACATGAACTATTTGTGGTTTGTTCCTTAGTCAGCCTGGTCACATTTTTATATTTATAAATTATGTTATAATTGAGCCTTTTTCTACCAATAATTTAGTTAATCTGATTTCTCTGTTCTGTTTAGTAATGCTCATATACAAAGACATTGTTTTGTTTTAACACTATGTTAGCAATGTAGAAATCATTGGATAAGGTTGAAATTGATAAATTGTTCTGCTTCATTTCAGTTTCCTAGCCCATGGAACTATATTTTCGGCCTTAATTTTTCCATCTTTGCCATTCTAGTTTCCAATCACAAGCAGCACATCTTGTTTCCATGTTTTGTCAGTTTCAAATTTAACTTAATGATAAAACTCATCGACTTCCTCTTTCCTTCATCAGTAATTTGAACATAATCTTGAATAATTGTCATATTAAAGGGTTGGCTACAAAGTGTTTAATATCACAGGCAGTCTTTGGGTTAGAACAGAAATTGGGATTGGAATTGCCATCACTAAGCGATGTCACCTCATCTCATCACTTAGCAACAATCCCAGTAGTCCCGCTTGCCGTCGTATCACAAGATGCATGAGTTTTTAAGTGGGAAGCAGCAGGAATCCCAGGTAAGGAATGTGGTAGGATGCTGTGGCTGGGCAGGAGAGGCTCTGGAAGGCCCAGTGCAGCCATGCATGAGTGCAGAGAGACTAGAGAAAGTAACAGAATTTGAAAGATCTTCACCTCTGACCTGAGGGGTCCATCACCTAGCACTGGGTTGTGATCTCTTCATAGTGTTTATCCTTGTGGTTTTTAGTTAAAAAAAGATTACCTGTAATTACAGTCTCTGAAATTATGCCTTTGCTATTGTCACTAAAGCTATTTCTCACTAAAGCATCTGCCCAATATACATGCCTGTTTGCTTTAGTTGGGCAGCTGGGATGACCTTCTGGTCCTATGCTAGAATGTTATACTCATTATACACTCCCTACATTTTTCACTTATTTCTCTCAGGAACACCCATCCACTATCAAAATGAGGCAGCATAGTAGGGTTTGTGGGAGAACAGAGGCAAGAATGCATCTTTTTTGATTGGAAATGGTTGTGGGCTAGTGGGAAAAGTCCCTGAATTTTTCAGATTGCTCATCACTTTCAAAATCCAAATTGTTTCTTCCATTTTAATGATTCTTATCTTTCATTACAAAAGAGCAAAGAACAATCCATCATGTATGGTTTCCTGGCATGAGATAGATTACTTCAAACTATGGTACACCATTGAGCAAGATGATCTTGATCTGAGAGGCTCAGCAGCAAGATAAGCCAAATTGACAATCAGAATGCAACCAACCATGTTTTGGGCAAGAACTGTAATGTTGCTGATTATTTCCAACAGTATGAAAACAAATCAGTACAAGTTTGGGCTCCATTTAATCAGATCCCTGCGCCTTCAGGATGTCCCACCCACTAGCATTCCATACAGAAATAATATGTTGATAAATGCAATTGTTAATACATATTGGGTTGATTAGCCTGCTGATAAGTATATGTATATTTTTTGTGCATGTAGGATCCATTGATGTTAAGATTCAGATTTTTATCTATGCAGAGCATGTCTTCATCTGTGGCTTAGCCAGATTACTAAGTTACATACCGTATATGCCGGCGTATTAGGCGACCCGGCGTATAAGACGACCCCCGTCTTTATAGCCGGGCCGCATTCCTAGAACGTCGTCTAATACGCCGGAAACTACCAGTATTTACGGCGTATAAGACGACTCGGCGTATAAGACGACCCCCGTCTTTGGCGCCGATTTCAGCGCTTGCGGAAGTCGTCTTATACGCCGGCATTTACGGTAGTAATTAACAGTAGTTAAATTTTCTGTTTTCTTTGGCATTAATAATTTAGTTAGCATGGAAATTCCTAATGTTGAATCATTTCTATTTAGGCTTCATTGTATGTAATCAAGTCTTCTGAATGTTTGAATTCTTCAGTAAGAGTAAGCATAAGAAGCACATAATAATTTAGAATTGCCTGAGCTCCCACTATGCCATAATGCATGAAATCACCCAGACTGAACACCATACCTATATAATAAAATAAACGTAAGTTAGCCATGCTTAACAGCACTTTGTCTAGTTTTATTAAATCTTTTCTTGAAAGTGTGTTTAGAATTATAGTAATATTGCTTCACAGGTCTACCTGTCAAGTATATATTGTGCAGTTTCACTGTCAATATCAGGGTGACAATATTTCTTATATACTGTACTAGGTTATGACAGATCATCATGGAGAAAAATATGTATGCACTAGGAGTTGACAAGGACTTGATGGCACGTAATTCTCATCAATCATATAGTTGCAACCGTAATAGCATAGCATAGAACTCTATAATCTTAGCTCAGACAATATGTCGATAGCCACATGATGGATGTAACCTAGAGCTAGCCACCTTTGCTACTTTTTGTTTCAATCACAACACAACTGCTTCTGCCCAGTTAAAAGGTGAAAATCATCCAAAATCATATCTTGCCTATACTTTTTACATTTTCAAGAAAGATTGTAAATTCAAGTGTTGACATAATCAACTACATTTACATATATGTACGTATTATAAATATAGACATAACTTCACAAATAGCCAATATACAAATATTTTATTTTTTACTAGGTATCACAATTAAAAAGGTAAGTACCATTTATCCTATTGGCAAGTATATGAATGTAAAACATCAAATCCCTACAACAATTGGACATTATTTACATGGATCCCAGACATGGTATTAATTTTACCACATAAATATTACAATATTTCAACCCTGCACCCTGTATTCCTTGTGTTTGTAGGTTTATATAATCAACATTAAACTATGATATAATAATTTGCCTTAACCTTCAAGCATTTTTTTCTCTTTGCCTGAAGGAGAATTATGTTTTTGTGCTAAGGCCTTTTACAAGTAATATTGCTTTGTCAGCAGACATGAAGTATTTGCTACTGAAATGGATGTGGCAGTTCAATATAATCCAGTATTATCAGCAAGTAGTTTGCTTACCACTCCATTCACATCATAAAACTGTTAGTATGGTATCCTTTCTCTGGAACAATAAATCTCCTGTGTAATTGGCTTCTTTATAAGTACTGTCTCCTCAAAGATATTAAAATATGTCTGATTCCAGAAAAGGAGATTAAACAGTTGGGTTATAAGTGGTTTGCAACAGTTCTTGACTTTCCAGTCTTTACAGGATTAGAGTTTTTAAACAATTTTACAAATATTAAAAGCTGTGATAAAATATTTCTGAAGAGTTCACAGTGCAATATTTTATACGCTAGCCAAGCTTTTATCTATATACCCATCTATAAAATTAATTAAAAATCAGTATAAAAATAGAATGATTTGAAAGGTTTACACACATACACACACCAACATTCCTTACTTATCTGTTGATTCTATATCAAATAGCCTATACAGTAGAATGCACAGGATTCCACAGGAACAGGAACCAATATGATGGTCAGTCAAAAATTAACCTTTTTAAAAAAAATTACATTAAAAAATATTTTGGTCATCAGAAAGGCCTACATCGTGTCAAAATCTTAAGAACCAGTTGACAACATCAAGTAGTTGTGATCTGTATTTACAGGATTTTTATTTCATTTTTTAACAAAAAATTGTTCAAATGTGAGGAGCTGAATTTAGCAGCAGTAAGGTAATATAAAGATGTACTCCATTTGACTGAATAGGCCAACATCAGATTCAAGCTCTTCACCTTTTTTTCTGCTGTCTCACACAGAGACACTTTTACTAAATGTTTACTGCTTCCCTGCACAGTTCTGTATTCTCCTGTGGAATTTTGTCCACATACTTAACATACTCTTCAGCCTACTGGATAAAGGAATTTCTGAAGTATTTCATTTTTGTCATAGTACAGAAACATTTTCTTTAAATATTCATTATGCTCTGTATGTTTCTGGTGCATCTATAATATGATATACTAATTATCTGTTGTATTGCAATCAGTATTCCAAAATTATTTTAAAAATCAGTGTAGTGATAGCTGGACTATCTTAATTAATGTCCATTGAATCTGGGCTACTTATATAGTAGTATAAACTGCTATACCAAATAAACTTCAATAATGAAGTGCATATCTGCATATTTATTTAGTTTGGTGAAAAGAACTTGACTAATAATATCAACTCACTCTTTCAGTGTCTTGTATTATAAATAACTGAGAAATTTCTGAATCATCAGTTCTGCAGAGTAGCTAGATTGTTCAGTGAGTGATACTTGGCAGTAAATGAAGAACTTCCACGGCAGTGGTAGTTACCGCAATTGCCCACAACACTTGAAAATTATATCCGAACATTTACCTTGTAGATTTCAGCAACCTGAGTTGCCTCAAAATAGTGCAATTTAATAACATATACACATATGCAGTGGTTTCACACACAGAAAAATACTTAAAAAGTAGTTGGCCATTATTTATGCCCTGTTCCCTTTAGCACAGTTTAATGAACTTCATCATGTATCTGCATTTCTATCTATATTATCTTGTGATGACAGCAGAGATGGATATGGTGCCACACATTTCACATTGACATAGGTGGCATTCACATGAACATAATGTTCCCCAATAAAAGTGGAGAAGATCATGGATATATCTGAAACTAACTCAGAAAAGTCTGGCCGTAGTTCAGGTTTTGGATGCCAACACTTGAGCATGACTTCATATCTGCAATGAAAAAGCACAAGAGTGATTTTTTAATCTATTACATTTAATAACATGATTTTACAAGATTTCTAGAAAGTATTTTAGACTTTTCTTACAGTGGATCAGGACAGTATTCAGGCTGCAAGAGCCTCCTTCCTTGTAGTAAGTAAACGGTAATATCAAAAGAGCTTATATCAGGATAAGGAGGTGCTCCTCTTGTCATCAGCTCCCAAAGTAAAACACCAAAGGACCACTAACAAAAAGAACATAAAAATCAAATCATAAGAAAGATAGCCACGAGCATTCATAACTAAATACTACATTATCAAAAAGACAAGGCCAAATATTTTGTTCTCTTGTTGGATTTTTTGGGAATTTATGAGAACAGAATTAAGGGGCAAATCTTAAGTCTTGTAAGGTGGTCATTATATCCCTTTAAAATGGTTTCCCTGAATTTTTCTTGGTCCTATTTTTGAGTTATTTTTCTTGAATAACTCAAGCTGATGGAAGTTATACACTTCCACTTTACATCAACAAAACTGCTATAGTCATCTAGTCCAATATTCTCTATTTTGACAGATTTTCTTTACCTAACTTTTTTTACGGAGAAAAGATAGTAATTGAATCTGGGATTTCTTCCATGCTAAACAGAAGTAATCTTTTGTAATTTTTGCGTTAATGGCCTCAAGCTGATAAAGGGCAAATAAGAAATTAATCTCCAGAACAAAATAAAATTTCAAGGGGAAAGGGGGTTTCTAAGAATAAAACACAGCCTGTTGAAAAAATGTTGTATGGAATTGATGAAGAAAAAAAACAAGCTGCGCACACATAGGCATTTATCTATCAAACATATAGATGACTTAGAATGGGTTTTAAGTCTTAAGAAAAACGGAATTGGTGAAAATGAACTAGAGAAGCAGAAAGTAGGGTCCACCAACATCTGTTTTGTGATCATTAGAGTTAAATGGCCACTTTAGAATGCCTGGAAAGCTTAAGAGCAAAATAACTCTGCAGATATTTAATTCTATGTGATTCTGAATCTCTTGTAGGAAGCATGATATGGCTCTCAAATGGAGAGCAGTTATAAACCCATATGTTAAGGGGACACAATTTCAAAATCGGATCAGCACAATCAAGCTTTTCATAGGAATCATTCAAGCTTAGTATTTTAAGACTGGAAAGTTTTCTTAGTTGTAGGTTTAAGATTTGGTCATCTGAAATACACACACAAAAATAATACCCATTTACTTTTGCAAATTAAGAAACAGGCTAGTTTTGGTTTAGTTTTTTTTTCTTGCATTAATCTACTATATAATTCTTTTCCTTTGATATTTCCAGTAATCTGTTGAAGTATGGAGAATCAGCAAGACCCATATAATGATAAATATATTACCACATCTGATTTTGTAGTGAACTTCTGGGTTTGCAAACTTTCTAAAGCCATCCATTTTACTGGCAATTTTGCTCCTGTTTTATTGTGTACACTGTAGTACTCTTTATCGTATACATCTCTCGCAAGTCCAAAATCAGCAACCTTGACTGTGAAATTTTCATCCAGCCTACAAAAACAATACACACACAAACACAAAATACTATTTGGAGCTAAGAAGATAGAATTTACATTTGTGGAGTCAATTTACACTGTATGGTTAATATAAACAAACATTCCATTTACAGTCATCCATTCCTTCCTGAAAGCAATGTTGCTTGTAAACAACCAATTGTTTATTTACAGATATCTGTATTCTTCAAAAATAGGCTAAGAGAGGATTCCATCTGAAGAGAGAATGCAGTTATAAATAAACTAAAGTCTAGACTTTACCATTTTCTTTAGTTAGCTCCAATGACAAATCTTTAATAAATCTTGTCACGAATGAAGATAAATATACGTATCCCAAGATAACATTGCAGGATCCAATCTGGGTCAGTCACTGAGACCAGAGGTTTAGTTTTCCAAACTTTGGACTCATGCTGGAGCCCATTGTCAGGGAACGTCTCTCTACATAATGTGAGCTTTGGGCTATTCTATGCTAATATTTACATGGTGCCTGGTTGTGTGTGGCTTATTTGTTGATTGATGGCCACTATTACAGCCAATGACTTAATAGCGGCCGTCAATACCCCAATCAACAAATAAAAAACCTACACACAACCAGGCAGCACATAAATGCTAGCATAGAGTATCCCAAAACACACATTTTGTAGAGAGAAGTTCCCTGACAATGGGCTCCAGCACAAGTTGAAAGCTCAAAAGACTAAGCCTCTGGTCCTGGTGACCGACCCAGATTGGATCCTGCAAATCTTGTTCATTTTGGAGTGTTGGATTATGGCAGTTCCTAATCTGCTACCTTTATAAACTGGTTCTCTCTATGGTCTTATTTCCTATCTCTTTTTATATAGGTAGAGCTAATCTAGAGTAGCATGATTGAAATGCAAGACTAGTATTAGAAGAGATAGTGGTTATTAAATATAGGTAGTCCTCATTTCACACTGTTAATTGGGACTGTAGACTCTGTTGTTAAGTCACATAATTGTAAATTTAAAAACCACATGGCCAATCCATCAGTGATGGCATTAATAAGGACCATGCAGGTCATTAAATGAGGATCTTATGTGAACCTGACTTCTGATTGGTTCTCCATTGAGTTTGCTTGTAAGAAACTGGCAGGTCACAAATTGCAATTGTATGATTGCAGGGGTGCCACAATGGCAGGTCCAGTAATAACTATCACTCGTTCAGTGTAATTGTAAGTTTGAAAAAGTGGCAATTAAACAAGGACCAACTATAGAAAGTGGGTTGAATTGAATGCCAGTAAATAACTAGATTTGACCCTACCTTAATAAAGTAGCTCCTCTAGAGATACCTAATTTTTATGTTGTACTTTCTTCTACCTGAAATGTTGATAACCTAAGCCTGATTTTTGTATAAATACCTCTGTACTCTTTTACAGGTAGTCCTCAACTTACGACCACAATTAAGCCCAACATTTCTGTTGCTAAGTGAGACATTGGTTAAGTGAGTTTTGCTACATTTTGTGACTTTTCTTGCCACAATGGATCACTGCGATTATGTCAGTAACACAGTTGTTAAGTGAATCAGGTTTCCCCATGAACACTACAACCGTCATAAATATGAGACAGTTGCCAAGAATCTGAATACTGATCACGTGACCATGGGGATGTTGCAACAGTTGTGTGAAAAACGGTTATGTCACTTTTTTCAGTTGCATTGTAACTTCAAATGGTCACTAAATGAATTGTGATAGTCAAGGACTACCTGTATTATTTCTATTCTATAATGTATTATTCATATTTTATAACGCAATAAAAGAATTAACATGGGGAAAAAAGAGACTTGTACAGCCTGATTTTTCCACTTTAATGTAACATAAGAATGAGTGTATGGCCAGATAATTCTGTTAATTCTAAAAAGCCATTTTCAAAAATAATCAAAATGTTAAATTGCTCATGTTTATTACTATTTTTATCTGTAATATAATTGATAGTAACTTTTTCTGACTTATTTAATACTTGACAACATTATTAATCAGCCACATAATTCTTTTCAAATGGGTAGCCATAACTTTATTGTAATACTATCTAAATTTCACACGTTGAGATAATACTTTTAAGTTATAATTGATCATTAGGATAATAAAATTAAGTTTTAATTGTGGACAATTATGACTAATTGATGCTAAGCTCATTAATTCATAATGCAAATGATGAATTGGCATAATGATTCTCACTTCTCTTGGAGTACTGAATAATTACACAAAGTAATCTGTCTGGTTATCCTGATACCAAGTTTTTTTTTCCATAACTTTTGCTTGGAGTAAAAATTCTTATTCTGACAGCAAATATCAGAAAATCTGAGGAAGAAGTAACTAACAGAAGCCAGATCTTGTGTTTCAATTACATAATTCTATGACATTTATTTTTCCCCCACAGCTGATTAACACAGTTCTCTCCCTGCAATATATGAAAAAGAAAGGTCATAGTAAATCTGTTAATTCAGAAAAAATATATGATAGAGTGAATAAACTTAAATTATGAACGTTTCTGCTTGGTCAATGATGTGATAAGAAAAATATTTGATAGGAGTGAAGCATGTGTGATAATATATGGAGTACAGGTAGTCCTTGACTTATGACAATTTGAGCCCAAAACTTCCACTACTAAGAAAGGCAGCTGTTAAGTGAGTTTGCCCCATTGTTAAGTGAATAACTACAGTCGTTAAGTGAATCCTACAGTTGTCAAGCGAATCTGGCTTCCCTCACTGCATTTGCTTGTTGGAAGCTGGCTGGGATGGTCACATGATACGAAGACAGTGCAACTGTCATAAATACATGCCAATTACCAAACACCCATATTTTGATCATGTGACTATGGGGATGCTTGCAATGGTTCTGAGTGTAAAATCCAGGTCACTTTTTTCAGTGCTGTTATAACTTTGAACGGTCTCTAAATGAGTCATTATAACTTAAGGACTACCAGTACTTGGGACTAACATTTAATAATCACTATCTGTTGAAAATTACAGTCTCTGTCAGATTAAGCACCTTTTGCCTTAGTTCTGAAGATTGCATCCAAAATAAAAAATGCAGTAATCTTAACAAGATTTTTATTTCCCCCAACTCATATTAGAGGACGCAGGATTTTAAACTTTTGTAAACTTTAAATATTAAACTTTAACATCTTCAATGATTACACCTTCTTTGGACTTAGTTTTGAGTTACTGGATCATTTCTTGGTCTTTTCCTTTTTTTACTGTTGAGACTTCCATTCAGCAGATGGAAGTGCATGTATAAGGTTATCCTGATGTCTTTATGATTCATGCTGTGTGTTTAGGGACATCTCCTCAGTTCTCAGTGTTTAATAATAATAATAATAATAATAATAATAATAATAATAATAATAATAATAATAATAATGTTGGAAGGGACCTTAGAGGTCATCTAGTCCAACCCCATGCTCAAGCAGAAAGCCCTAAACCATTTCAGACAAATGGCTCTCCAGTCTCTTCTTAAAAATTTCCAGTGTTGGAGCTTTCACAACTTCTGGAGGCAGGTTGTTCCACTGATTAATTGTTCTATCAGGAAATTTCTCCTTAGTTCTAGGTTGCTTCTCTCTTTGATTAATTTTCATCGTTGCTTCTTGTCCTGCCTTCAGGTGCTTTGGAGAATAGCTTGACTCCCTCTTCTTTGTGGCAACCTCTGAGATATAGAACACTGCTATCATGTCCCCCCTAGGCCTTCATTAAACTAGACGTATCTAATTCCAGTCCCCTAATCATCTTTGTTGCTCTTTTCTGTACTCTTTCTGGAGTCTCAACATCTTTTTTACATCGTGGTGACCAAAACTGGATGCAGTATTCCAAGTATGGCTTTACCAAGGCATTGTAAATGGTATTAACACTTCACGTAATCTTGATTCTATTCCTCTGTTAATGCAGCCTAATAGTGTGTTGGCTTTTGGGGCAGCTGCAGCACACTGCTGGCTCATATTCAAGTGATTGTCCACTAGGACTCCGAGATCCCTCTCACAGTTGCTATTATTGAGCAAAGTACCACCTATACTATACCTGTGCATTTGTTTTTTGTTGCCTAAATGTAGAATCTTACTTTTTTCACCACTGAATTTCATTTTGTTAGATAGTGCCCAATGTTCAAGTCTGTCAAGATCCCTCTGTATCTTAAGCCTATCTTCTGGAGTGTTGGCTATTCACACCAGCTTGGTGTCATCTGCAAATCTAACCCTAACCCTAACCCCTTATCCAAATCATTGATGAAGATGTTGAAAAGCACTGGGCCCAGAACAGAACTCTGGGCACCCCACTACACATTTCCCTCCATGTAGATGCAGTTCCATTGAGGACCACATGCTGGGTGGTCAGCCAACTGAATCCATCTAGTGGTGATGCTGTCTAACCCACATTTTTCTATCTTATCATGCAGTAGGTTGTGGTCTACTTTATCAAATGCCTTACTGAAGTCCAAGTAAATTATATCCACAGCATTCCTCTGGTCCACTAATTTTGTCAGCTGATCAAAGAATGCAATAAGATTTGTCTGGCATGATCTGTTTTTGACAAACCCATGTTGGCTTTTGGTAATGACTTTGTTTGCCTCTAGATGTTCGCTGATTAGTTGCTTGATTATTTTTTCCAGAATCTTTCCAGATATTGAGGTCAGGCTGATAGGTCTGTATTTTCATGGATCCATTTTTTTTTCCTTTTTTGAAGATGGGAACTACATCAGCTCTTTTCCAGTCCTCTGGTAGTTTCCCCAGTGCTCCAGGATCTTTGAAAGATATAGTTCAGTGGTTCTGAGATCATATCTTTCAGTTCCTTCAGAACCTTGGAGTATAATTCATTTGGTCCTGGTGATTTGAACTTGTCTAGGGTGGACAAGTGCTCACTTATCATTTTGTGTTTCTAATCTATTTTTTTACGGTACTGTTTTTGATAGGTTGGACTGTTTTTTCCCTTTCTGTAAAGACAGATGCAAAAAACGAGTTAAGTAGTTATGCTTTCTTCCTGTTATTTGTCACCTTGCCACTTTCTCTCACTAATGGATCAATCATTTCCTTAACTCTTTTCTTGTTTTTTACATGTTATCCTCCCCAAGCTCTTTGTATATGGTAGGTTTTATTGGTGTTGATTCTTAGATGGCTTGTTTATTACCACAATACCACCCAGATCTCCCCAAGGTCCCCATTCAGATAAAAAGTATTCTAGTGGTGGCGGAAAGGAGTTGAGGGAGAGCAGGAGACAGGCACAGAGTTTGCGCCAAAAATGAAAGTTTCTGGGATCCGTGATCTTGTGAGAGTTCAGGCACCCATTCTCTGAAAAAGAGGATTGGTGCCTGAACTCATGCGATTATACGGCACCCAGCAGCTTCCATTGACTCTCCTCTCCCTCAAAGGCAGAAATTGTGGCAGAGAGGAGACAGATCTTCTCAAGGTGAGTCTGGAGCAGCTGGAAGGGAGGGGGAAGCAGTTATGGGGAGTGGGGGAGGGAATAGAGTAAATTCAGTAGAGCCTCTTCAGTCGTTTGTAAGGAAGAACAACTGCCGTGGTGTGGCAACATTCGTAATTTTTGGATTTTCTCGTAAACACTAGGGGGTGCTAGTGTAACTTTGAACGAGCGTTAAGTGAACTCTCGTAACTTGGGGATTACCTGCATTTAAAAATGGAGCTGGGCCAAGTCATGTTAATTTTGTTATTTAATAGTTTATCTTTTTGTTTTCTATTTTCCTTTGTTTCTTTTAAAAAGTGTAAGTTAAATGATTTTGTTTTCTTTTGATCTATAGAGAAACTTCCTTATGTATGTAGTTTTTTCATGCCATTTGTTTCCTGGATTGTAAAATTCATTAAATCATCCTTCCAAGAATAGACATTTATTAAATTGATCAAATTAAAAGCTGTTTTTTAAAGGAAAACATATCTTTAGAATTTTCTTTTATAGAACCTGGGTTATAATTAGTCAAAAATTAAAATCTGATTAATAAATCAAATTATGTAGAGAAACGAGATATAAATTGCTTAGAAAGTTTTGTTTTGTTTTTTTTAAATGGGTGACTAAAGTTTTAATTATTACACTGCATTTATAAATCACTATGGCCTTACTAAATATCATTCAGAAGTTTCGCAAGAAAATTTTGAATATTTTTTTAATTTAGCTTGACTGTAGTACAGATAATCCTTGAGGTACAACAGATCATTTAATGAATGTTCAAAGTTACAACAGAGCTCCTAAAAGCCATATACAACCATGATTTGAAGAATTTTAGAAAAGTTATCTGGTCATTTGCACTTGACCAGGTGGCTTCATAACTTTGCAGAGATGCTACAGCATGCCCACCTATCTCTTCCCTTGCCCTGCCAGATCCCCAAAGGCATGGGCCTACTTTGACCCCGTTCCACTCCTCACAAGCCCTTGCCTACCTTCTGGAGATCCGCAGAACTCAGTACTGTGGGCCATTCTCAGTATTGTGGGTGATGCAGAAGAAGCTGCTTTGCCTTGTTTGAAACCTGACCTGGGAGGCAAAACTGCTCTTCCCCCTCCCTCTGCATTGCCCTTTTAACATTTAACCCTTCATTTCTGTTCTCTGTCTCACTGCAGCATGCCATTTCTCGTTTTAAAACTTTTATTCAGGAGGAAATATAGAAACTGCAAAGCACAAGCTGTGGCTCATTTTCCTATTTTGAGTTAAAGAGGCGATGAAGAAAGTCAGAAGGCGGGGAAATGCTACTTTGCTGAGGTCAGTTTGCAAACAGCTGTTCTATGTGGCCCAATAAGAATGGCCCACAATACTGAGTTCTGCAGATCTCTGGAAGGTAAGCAAAGGACAGTGAGGGGTAGAGATGGCTGTGGGGACCCCGAGGAAAGGAAACAGAGCATGGGGGTATCTCAGGGGGTGGGGGAGGCCCTGGGAAGGCTAAAGCAGGCATCCCTGAGGCATGTGCATTCACTTAATGTATGCATTGGGGTGATCCAGAATGAGGGATCTTTCACTTAACAAGTTTCAATTAGCATCCTCCTGCCTTATGACTGAAATGGGCAGGCTCCACTACTGTTGTAAGTCGAGGATTACCTGTAATTAAGTCTGAAGATCTAATTAAATTTTAGGTTCTCAATCTATACTATTCGAGCAAAATTTATTTTTCCTACCTGGAAAATGTCACAAGTTTATATCCTGGAGTTAAATCTGTCATAGCAAAAATATTGTTTATTTACTATCTTTGTCCTTAATTGATGAGACATATAAATGTAGTGTTAGTTCGCTTGCAATATCCAAACATGTTATCAATTATTATAAGAAAATAACCATGTTATTCAAGATAATGAATGTATCCTTATTAAAGGATAAATTTTTATAAAAGAAACAAGAATTTGAAAAACAAGTATGACTAGATCACCAAGAAATTCAGTGATTATTGGTATGCTTTTAAATCATATATTCATGGTCTTGCCTATGCTTCCTAGAAAAGTAAAAATAAACAAAATTTAGACAATAAAGTTATGGAACTTTTGAGTATAGCTACTGTATACATGCAGGAGAACCTATACCAGAATCATATAAAGCTGTTCTAGTTCAACATAGACCAAAAAATACTAAATCTTCTGAACCCCCCCCCCAGTCATTTATATGTAATTGACAGATAAATATATGAAAGCATGCTTATGAGAACTTAGGATCTATTGGCTGAGGGTGGGGATATATGTGTACTTTTTTATAATGTATTATTTTTGCAGATGATTTACAATGAATGTATCTTGCAACACATATTTGTATTTTGCATTATGAGCTATGGCACTTAAAACATTGTATGTTAAAAGACCAAATTGTTGTGTTTGAGGGGAAAAATCTCACGAACAACTGTACATTGCGCATAAACCTACCACTGAAGGCATTTGGAGGCTGAGATACAAAAGATATCCATATCTAAAATATATCTGGGCATTTCTTACTGTGGTTTTATTATGAAGTTGATTTGTCAATATTGTATTACTATAGTATCGTGTATTATAATCTTAGTATTATATGCACTGTAGAGTTTATACTATGCTTGTCAGCAACTTAAATTCAGGTTTTTCTTTCTAACTGAAGGAGCATAAAACAAATAAAAAAATAAGAGCAATTGGAGTATTTATTTCTTGGTAAAACATTTACTAATTATGAGAAAATGGACAGAAATTTTATGATGTGTGTATTTTGGTAGAAAAATAGTGAGTTATACTGTAAGTAATAGGTTGTGAGGAATGAATGTTTGTCAAAAGAAGCAAACTTGGCTGTCTGCAAGGACTTGCTTCCACTCAGGAGAAACATGAAACTAAATTGAATTCAGTGAGAATGAGATACTTTAAGAATGTGTGATAAAACAATCGATATTATGGTCAATGGATAAATGTGACTTAAATAGAAAATATCAGTAGAAAGAAATATCAAAGTTGATTGGTCATATGAAGAGACTAAATGAGGATCACATTACAAAACAAATATATGAAGGAAAAGTGAATGCAGAAAAGGAGGAAAGGATGGAGATTACAAGAATCTCAAAAAGAAAGAGGTAAGGTGTTTAAAGAAGAAAAGGAACTATATGAAGGAATGGGTATGATGGAATGAAGAAAAAGGGTATAAGAGGAAATGGTGTGGATGCAAATTAGTTTGTTAGATTGTTTAATCTTTTCTCTTATTTATTTTTTTCAGTTTCTTTGGCTTACTCTATTTCTGTGTTTTTCAAAATATTGCTTATCTTGAAAGAAAATAACATCATGGGTATGTAGGTATGTTAACATTAAGCATGTTATTGTGATATAATCAAATGATATTTCAGGAACAAAAGAAACCTGTAAAAATGCAACAGAAAACATGGAAATAATGCCTTCTCAGAGAAAACTAACATTGAACATTGATGTATAGAAAGGATGCTCCTCAAAGCAAAATAATTTCAACCTCAGAATCCTGCATAGAAAGCAAAAATTCCTAAGACTAAGTAAAATTGAATGTAATTGTGTTTCCTATACCACATAAGTAATGCAACTCTCTGAGTGATATTCAGCAGTTGTAAACATCTGTAGCAATGTTTTTTGGCCTTGGCAACTTTCAGATTAAAAATCTTTAAGACATACTGACTGGAGAATTCTGGGAAATGAAGTCCACATATCTTAAAAGTTGCAAAAACTGAGAAACATTTATCTATAGCAGGGGTGTCAAACTCGCAACATCACGTGACATGTCACGATGTATCGTGACTTTTTTTCCATTGCCAGCAATGGGGTGGATGCAGTTTTGGCATGACGCATCTGGCCTGCAGGCCGGCAGTTTGACACCCCTGATCTATAGGAACATTATAGATAAAGTTCTAAGTTTCATATTAAAAAGAAACATTACAGAAATAAGAAATAAAATAGTATAAATGGAATGAACTTTTTTTTCCAGATGGCATTATTTTTATCCCACCCTCATTTTTTTAAATAAATAACTCAAGGCAGCGAGCAGATCTAAATCTTCTTTTGTATTCCTATTTTTCCCATAACTGCTCCATGAGGTGAGTTGAGCTGAGAGTAACTGTCTCAAAATCACTCAGCTGACTTATATCACTAAAGTGAGATTAAAACAATCTCCTGGCTTCTGTTCTGGTGCCTTAATCACTAGAAATAATGTGAGAAAAAAGTTAATCTGTACTTACATACAATTTCTTGCTGCTAAATCTCTATGGACAAACTTTTTGCTTGCAAGATATTTCATCCCTTTTGCTACTTGTAGACCAAATCCAATCAGATCCTTCACCGTTGGATTCTGAAAATTATGGACGTGTTAGTAGTTAAAACAATGCAGTGAAGAATGACTTTCAGTTATAAATATGTACTGTAATAGATGAAATCAAACTTAATCTTCATTTTAATATTGAAAGGTTCTACATTCAAACATAGTTTTCCTGATCCTAAACTTGCATTAGTAACTAAGGAAACAAAATATTGAATAAATTTAAGTATTTATTTGATTATATAGCATGTTTAAAAAAGAAATCTAGATGAAATTAACTAATTGTGAGAAGTGTTGAAATATGTGATAACCTAAGTTTTAGATTACCATTTTGTTGTTATTACACAGTGATTCTTATATACATGATACAGTGGGCAAAAAAGTATTTAGTCAGCCACCAATTGTACAAGTTCTCCCACTTAAAAAGATGAGAGAGGCCTGTAATTGTCATCATAGGTAAACCTCAACTATGAGAGACCAAATGAGAAAACAAATCCAGAAAATCACATTATCTGATTTGGAATGAATTTATTTGCAAATTATGGTGGAAAATAAGTATGTGGTCACCTACAAACAAGCAAGATTTCTGGCTCTCACAGACCTGTAACTCCTTCTTTAAGAGGCTCCTCTGTCCTCCAATCATTACCTGTATTAATGGCACCTGTTTGAACTTGTTATCAGTATAAAAGACACCTGTCCACAACCTCAAACAGTCACACTCCAAACTCCACTATGGTGAAGACCAAAGAGCTGTCGAAGGACACCAGAAACAAAACTGTAGACCTGCACCAGGCTGGGAAGACTGAATCTGCAATAGGCAAGCAGTTTGGTGTGAAGAAATCAACTGTGGGAGCAATAATTAGAAAATGCAAGACAAAGAAGACCACTGATAATCTTCCTCGATCTGGGGCTCCACGCAAGATCTCACCCCGTGGGGTCAACATGATCACAAGAATGGTGAGCAAAAATCCCAGACCTAGTGAATGACCTGCAGAGAGCTGGGACCAACGTAACAAAGGCAACCATCAGTAACACACTACACCGCCAGGGACTCCGATCCTGCAGTGCCAGACGTGTCCCCCTGCTTAAGCCAGTACATGTCCAGGCCCGTCTGAAGTTTGCTAGAGAGCATTTGCATGATCCAGAAGAGGATTGGGAGAATGGACTATGGTCAGATGAAACCAAAGTAGAACTGTTTGATAGAAACAGTCGTGTTTGGAGAAGAGAGAATGCTGAGTTGCATCCAAAGAACACCATACCTACTGTGAAGCATGGGGGTGGCAACATCATGCTTTGGGGCTGTTCCTCTGCAAAGGGACCAGGACGACTGATCCGTGTACAGGAAAGAATGAATGGGGCCATGTATCATGAGATTTTGAGTGCAAACCTCCTTCCATCAGCAAGGGCATTGAAGATGAAACGTGGCTGGGTCTTTCATCATGACAATGATCCTAAACACACCGCCCGGGCAACGAAGGAGTGGCTTCGTAAGAAGCATTTCAAGGTCCTGGAGTGGCCTAGCCAGTCTCCAGATCTCAACCCCACAGAAAACCTTTGGAGGGAGTTGAAAGTCCGTGTTGCCCAGCGACAGCCCCAAAACATCATTGCTCTAGAGGAGATCTGCATGGAGGAATGGACCAACATACCAGCAGCAGTGTGTGCCAACCTTGTGAAGACTTACAGAAAACGTTTGACTTCTGTTATTGCCAACAAAGGATATATAACAAAGTATTGAAATGAACTTTTGATATTGACCAAATACTTATTTTCCACCATAATTTACAAATAAATTCTTTCCAAATCAGACAATGTGATTGTCTGGATTTGTTTTCTCATTTTGTCTCTCATAGTTGAGGTCTATCTATGATGACAATTACAGGCCTCTCTCATCTTTTTAAGTGGGAGAACTTGCACAATTGGTGGCTGACTAAATACTTTTTTGCCCCACTGTATATATTAAGAAGGAATATTTCATTGCAGAATTATTAAAAAAATTGTAATTGAATGTGCATAGGATTGTTATTTTAACTGGCAGAGCACTTTTTTAGACCTTACTAATAAAGCTACCTATGAAAACTAAGGCTTAAAATATTGGTATGTTTCTTTCAAAACTAGGGTGAACATTAATTATTAGTTTACTTAAACAACAGAATGTTTGTACTGTAATTTTTATATATTTTTTTTATTTTAATTATAAAGAATTGCCTATGACAAAGATAAATGGGAAATTACCAGAATCAGATAGCAACCTCAGCAGCTCTCAATGATTACAGAGTTTTCCCAGGATTACCGGGATATTAAGGTCTGAACATGGCATATTGCTTTCAAAAAATTGTCTACATATTTGAAAATGTTTATAAGCCCAGCCCATCTCCCTTCAACTTCAACATAAATCTATAAGCAACGTACAAGAAACCAAAGAACAAAAATTCAGATTCCTTACACTCCTCCAGACAGGAATTCTGATCATCCAGGTCCAAATGCCCACCCAGAATCACTTTGTAGTGGAGATGGGTGGCATAAAAATTTAATAAATAAAATAAAATAAATCCTACACATAAATCCTTTGATTCAAGTAGTTTTTCTGTATTTTTCAACGATCAATTGCTTTTACGTGAAATGTGTAATGCAACTTCATTAAATTCTGATTAAAAATACCATATTTCAAAGTAATAATTGATCCATCAATTTGTACTTTCAGACAGAACTATAATAATATATAATTGCCTAACTGTATCACTACTGAACATCCCATAATACACATACATGAGATTCATTTCTAATGAAGTTTCGAAGATCTCCATGTTTCATATAAGGAAGCACCACCAAAGGAGAACCTTCATTAGGCAAGCAAATTCCAAGTAGTGACAGGACATTGGGATGAGTGAAATCCTTCATTATAATTCCTTCTTTTAAGAATTGAGCTACTTCATCCAAATCCGTAATTCCTGAAAAATGTAGCAACAATTTTTTAATAAATATACATATAATTTCTAATATATTTTAAATACATTTTAATGAAAGGAACAAATATAGATCCTTAGTATTACTCCTTTATAATCCTAATAAGGTTATAATAAAACACATTGAAACTTATATATGTATTCTCAAAATTATATCCAGGTATTTGCAGGGCTAGACGCTGCCTATCTATAAGCAAATGAGCTGGAAGAGTGTTATCTGGAGTGTATTTAACAAATTTTAGCAGCATAGTTCCAGAACTCCTTTCTCTTCCTTTTTTACATATTAATAACAATATATAGAAATGCTCCATCTGTCGAACTAAAAGAATGTTATTAATAGTTTGTGCCAATTAAGTCCTGCTGTTTTCCAACTGTCTCACTCATAAAAAGTGAACATAAGCTAGTGGTAAAATGAAACCACAATTTTTCTCTCTTTCCTTTAATCTTTTATTTATTATGTGGACAGAAATGATGAGCATTCTTCCATATGGACATTGTAAGATGTATGGAATAAAATTTCTGCAAGCTACACAAAGACACTTAACTTGATAAAAATAATCATGGCTCAACAAATATAGTTTAGTCAGTGAAAATACAATGATACAGAATAAAATATTATGAGGCTCACTGTTCAAGGATTTCACAGCACAATGAATTTTCTTGCCATCAGTATCCAATAAAGTTCCATGATAAACACATCCAAAATGCCCTGCAAAGAGAAAATATCACAAGTCCAATTTCTACTGATTTCTCTGGAGCTGTCTTTATATTTTGGGAGTGATTAAGTGCTGAGGGAAAGAAACTTGTCCTGGATTCTTTCAGAAATCATTCTGAGCTGCTCAGAACAATGCAGCAACACAGTCAAAAAAATGATAAAACAATGGTAAAACGCCTGGGAGATGGTTGGCTTATCAATTAAGAAAGAAACAGAGACAGAGAATAATAGAGAAAATAAATTACAAGGGTAAATTAGTTTCTCAGAAGGAATTGATTAAAAAATCTTTTTTGGATTATTATCAAAAGTTATACAAATCTACTAATGTGCAACTGCTAGATATAAATAAATATCTAGCTGAGGCAAGTTTTCCTAAACTGACTGAGGATCAGAAACATGAAATTAATGGCTTAATTACTAAGGAGGAAATTGCCTCAGCAATTCAACAATTGAAACTAGGGAAAGCACCGGGTACGGATGGGTTAACAGCTGTTTATTATAAAGCTTTAATGGAGGAGATGATCCAACCATTAAATGATCTTTTTAATGGTATCTTACAGGGTTTAGAGATTCCTCCTTCATGGCGTAGTGCTTTTATATCATTGATTCCAAAGGAGGATCAAGATCTTACTTTACCAAAAAATTATAGGCCTATATCTCTTTTAAATGTGGATTATAAGATATTTGTAAAAATCTTGGTAAATAGGCTTATGAGGGTGGCGCATCATCTTGTGCATAAAGATCAATCAGGGTTTATAACAGGAAGGTATATGAAAAATAATGTTAGACAAATTATTAATCTATTAGAATATTTAGACAAGAACAACCAAGTTCCTGCAGAGCTCATATTTTTAGATACTGAAAAAGCATTTGATCAATTGAATTGGCATTTTATGCTAAGAGTAATGGAAGAAATGAATTTTGGCGAAAAGATATTACAAGCTCTTACGGTAATATATCAAAAACAAATGGCACAACTTATTGTTAATGGAGGTTTGTCGGAGGTTTTTACAATAGAGAAAGGTACTAGACAGGGGTGTCCTTTATCGCCATTGTTGTTTGTTTTAACACTGGAAATATTATTGATCAAAATTCGAGAGTCTCAGGAAATTAAAGGAATAGAAGTTAACAAAAAAGAATATAAGTTGAGAGCTTTTGCGGATGACTTGGTTGTTACTTTGTCGCAACCTGATTATTCTGCAGTAAACTTATTACAGTTGATTCATCATTATGGTTTGGTTTCGGGTTTCAAGATTAATGTAAATAAGACTAAAATCTTACCTAAAAATATGTCTAGTCAGGAGAAGCAGATTTTGGCTAACTTGACGGGTTTTGAGATTGTTAATAAGGTAAAATATTTGGGGGTGATGTTGTCTGTTTCTAATGTAAAATTATTTAAAAATAATTATGAAAGGTTGTGGGTCAGGGTACAGAAGGACTTGAAGAATTGGGAGAAGTTGCAATTATCCCTCATGGGAAGAATTGCAGTGATAAAAATGAATATTCTACCCAAGTTTCTTTTTTTGTTTCAAATGTTACCGATTTTGAAAAATGAGATTAATTTAAGTGAGTGGCAGAAGGGTCTTAATAAATTTATTTGGGCAGGGAAAAAGCCAAGGGTTAAGTTTAAAATTATGCAAGACTTCCGTGAGAGGGGTGGACTTAAGGTACCAAATTTGAAATTATATTACGATGCGGTGGTCTTAACACTAATCAGTGATTGGGTAAATTTGACAAATCCTGAGATACTTCATTTAGAGGGATGGGATTTACTTTATGGGTGGCATGCCTATTTAATATTTAATAAAAAAATGGACTGGGTCTTTAAATCTCATATTTTAAGAATTTCTTTACTTAGGATTTGGAGAAAATATTATAAAAGTGATTTTAAAGTTCCATTATGGGCTATACCTTGGCATGCGATAGAAGGAATAAAAAGAGGAGTAAAAATGGACATGGTGTCTTATAGTCAGTTACTTAGATGGGATGGGCAAAACTGGCAGTTAAGATTACGAGAAGATTTAGCGCAAGAAAATATTATTTATTCTTGGTTTCAATATAGGCAACTAGTAGATAAATGGAAGGTGGATTGTAAATTGGGTTTTCTTAGAGAAGATGGAAATCTTATTAAGCAAGTCAAGGATCAAAGACAAACCCATATCAAGAGAATTTATGGGGTATTAGTTGAAATGGACTCAGAAACGGAATTAATTAAAGATTGTATGATTAGATGGGCGCAGAATTTTGGTGTCCCAGTCTCATTGGACATTTGGGAAACCATTTGGGTGAGAAATGTCAAATTTACACAAGCACAGAACCTTAGGGAGAATTTTTATAAAATGTTTTATAGATGGCACCTTGATCCACAAAAAATGTCTCTTATGTACCCTGACGTGCAACCCAAATGTTGGAGATGTGGTTATAAGGATGCTTCCTATTATCATATTTGGTGGTCATGCAGAGAGATAAAAGCATTTTGGATCAAAATATGGTGGAATATCCAGAGAATTTTTAGAAGGAGGGTAAAATTTACTCCGCAATTATTTTTGTTAGGCATTGTTACAGATTGTGATACAAAGGAGGTTGTATTGATGTTAAATTTGATTACAGCCGCTAGGCTGTTAGTAGGACAATATTGGAAGAAGGAATCTTTGCCTACATTGCAGGAATGGTTTCTTAAAGTAGCTTATCTGGCGGAAATGGCAAAGATTTCGGCTTTCTTAAAGCAACAAACGCAAGAGAAGTTCCTTGCTGTTTGGGACAAATGGATAAAATTTATACAATTTAGACTGGGTATACAAAAATATCACATAGCTTTTTTATAAGTTTTATTTTTATATATATATATAGATATTTTTTTTATATATATATATAAATATAAATTTTTTAATTTAATTTTTTATTTTTATTTCTTAATTTTTAATTAAGCCTATATTCTGCTCTGGGAAGCTCAGGGGGGGGAAGGGAGGGTTTTTGTGCGGGGTGGGAGATGGGTTTTTTTTTTATATATATATATATGTAATGTTTAGTTTCTTTTTTGTATATGTTGTCTTTTGTTTTGTATTGTTTTTGTCTTTTTGTAAAATTTATAAAACTTTCAATAAAAAAAAAAAGTAGAAAAATAAAAATAAAATAAAATAAAAAACAATGGTAAAACAATGATATTTCCAGTTGAAAGCTCTGATATTTCAAAAGTTCTGCTGGAGACAGAAAAATATTAAATCTAAATCTAGATCCATCATCCTGCCATTGGCACATCTTCCTTTGGAAGTTTACAACATCAGACCTTCCTAACTTTAGAAATATAACTCTTGAAGTTTTCCTGTGGGCAAATAAGTGATTTCTGATGTTGGATGTACTCTCTGATGCATTGAATGATTATTTGGGACGTCCCCAATGGAATGTATTTTCAGATAAAATTGCATAAAATTGAATGATTCAGCATCCCAACATAAACAGGGATAAAGCCAAATTTTTGAAATTAAATGTGTAAATATAAAATACAATTGAGACACCTACCTCTTCCTATTACTTCACTGAAGTGCACAATCATATTATCAGCACCAATAACAACATGCTCAACTTCTTTGACCAGATCTGGATTTAAGGCACTAATGTCAATGCGAACATTAGTCTGTAACAATGGACTAGCTAAATCAGAGTCTCCAGTAGACAGAATGGGAGATAGGTCCACATGAGGATATTGGGTTGGCCTGCAAGATCCATTCTGAGATAAAGTTGGAAACTGGTCTATAAGGAAATGTAAACATCTTTGTCAATAGCAAATTCTGCCACAGAAAGACTTGCGTTTATCTGTTTAGTTTTCATTTTAAAATTTATTTTTCACCTAATTACATAATGTAACACATGATTGCTAAAACAATAACAATAATCCTAAAAAGAACCAGCTTATCTGTAACTTGAGAGACACAGTAGCTATGCCCTTGAGAGAACTTTTCATAATGATCCTACAGGAATATCTGATTTGCAGGATTCATTTAAAATGGTGGAGCTAAGCCTGGAAACAGAATCAGAAGCCCTTATAGACCAAGAGAATATGGCTTGCAAAGCAAACCGTTATATACTATAATTTGTCTTTCATTTGTTGGGGTAATATTTTCTTCACACCATTTATATAAAACTAGTTTTAAACACTAATTGACATCCCAACTCTCATAAACATACTGTTCTACTGCAAACCTTAATCGGAATTGCCATGGTGCAAACCATATTTTCTTTTGTAGAATTTCCTAACAATTTTGTATTTTGAACCAAGCTCAAAATTGTAACAAAAACAATCTGAATTTGTAGTAATTTTACGGAAACAGACATTACACATTAGAGAAGAGAAGAAAGAAATGACAAAGGATATTGGTTATTTTCAAATTATTATTTAATGAACAGTTTAAAATCAGCTTAATACTTTCCAAATTATTGTAACTATATTTATCAAGAGGTAAATATTCAAATAGGAAATTGACTTTTATGATTCATTTCCTGAATTTTTAATATTTAACATTTTTAAGTACAGTAAATGTATTTACTATTTTTGTTTAAGAACCATAATGTATAGGGTTGATCAGACATCAATCTTCATGAATTTGCACAGACAAGTTAGCAGAATAAAAATGTGTCTAAACAAAACACTGCTATTCTCATTACTTTGAATCCAAGGAAATAGTTGATAACAAAGCTTAGGAAATGTGTGGGTCTCTTTCCCTTTCTTAGCAAACAATGGAGAATCTTTAAATGAGACCTTGTTCTGGCAGAGCTGAGGTGGATATTTTATTATTGCAGACACAATGCATCAGGAAGTGCTCTAGCATAATAGTATGCTGATTATTGTATTTGTATTTATTTAACTTATTGCATTATTTATTTAATTTACTAACATTTGTATGCCAGCTCTTCTTACAATTGGAAGGTAATAATTTTTGATATCCAAAACCTAAATAATCATTGCTTCATTGTCTAGATTAGCATTCTCCAAACTAGGGTCCCTCAACTCTCAATTCTTAAATTCTTCATCTCCCAGTATGTGGTTCTTCAATTTCTAAGAATTCCGGAAGTTTCAATTAACACATCTGGATTATAGTTAGATTTGAGAAGACTGTTCTCAATGTTATTGATTGAATTCTATTTATGTTTATTTTGCTGCAAGTACCTGGTGTGTGTGTGTGTGTGTGTGTCTGTGTGTGTGCAGACGTATAATTGTAGTCCGAATATTGGTGTATTATAATGCTGTCAGGAAATGTTTAGTTTGTGTGACGTACAGTTCAGCAATCAATGTGAACATTTCTTACAAGGACATAAAAGCATTCTTACCTATGCTGAGATTTTCTTGTAAACAGAAAGTACTCTCTTCTTAGCCATTTATGTTCAAATAAGACCAGGATGTGCTACTCATACATTAATCTTATTTTTACTTAAACAGAGTTTAGGTTAGCAGTTCCAGAGTTTAGAGAAAGACCACTGTTATACATATACTAACCTGTTTATAGTATGCCTAAATGATTGCATATGCCTGATCTGATGCATCACTAGCACTGTGCAAAGCATTTGAAAAGGCACTTTACAAAGCTCACTTGTGAAGCACCTTCTTGAAGCATTGAGATAACTGCTTTCTATGCAGTGTTCAGCCCAACTACCTCAAGGATTTTTATACCTTGTCATTATATGTGTGTGCATTCATAGCCACTTTATTTGGCAAGTAGAACATTTGGAAAAATCCATGAAGGAGGCTTGCCAAGACTCTGGAAGAGGTTGCAACTTCAGTGTTTTGAATGCTTTACATCTTGGAATAAGCATTCTCAGGTTTAGCACGAATAGTTCTGATCTTAAGCAACATATCTCAGTTTACAACAGGTATTTTTCTTTGATTGGATGTTGCTTTATTGAACTTGATACAACCTGGCATGTTGCTTCATGTATTCAGCAGCACTAATTTAAGTGTTATTGTTTTTTCATATATGTAAGAAAAATGGTGTTATGAAGCAGCCTTAAAAGATGGATACTGTCCTAGAATTACTTGGAATTTTTTTAAAGACATCCTGCAGGTGCATGGACAGTTCACATTACTGCCCCTCTACAAATTAGGATGCTGATACTGAGATTTACAGGTAGTCCCCAAGTTGCGAGCGTTCCTTTAGCAAACGTTTGAGGTTACATAATAAGTGCCCCATAGTGCTTATGAGCAAATCCTGAAATTATGAATATTGTGGCACCATGGCAGTCGTTCATCCTTAAGAGTGACCGCAGTGGCACTGCAACCCTGGTTATTCCCTCCCTCCCCACCCCCACCCTGGATCACTCTAGGCCAGGGCTTTTCAACCGGTGGTACGCGTACCACTTGTGGTACATTAATGAGTGGCAGTTGGTACGCAGCCATGCTAGCCAAGTGTAGTGGGGGAGGGAAAGAGCCAGCACAGGCAAGGACTTACTGTGAGAGAGTTCTCTGGAACTGCAGAGTGGCTGAGGCTGAGCCTCACCCGAGGCTCACTTCTGGCTCACCCTCCCCCATGAGAAAGGAGGAGGAGGGGGGCAGAGACAGGAGAAGCTATAAAAGGAGGCAGTTTGGGCGGGAGAGGGGAAAAAAAGAAGCAGCCTCGGGAGGATTTGGAGTCAGCTCTAGTGCACCGAAAGGGAAGGAGGAGGGGGGGGGGAAGAGGAGAGGAGATCAAGGAGTCCAAGCAGGCTGGCCATGAGCTGATCTACAATTTCTGTGGCAGCCACCTGTGCTGGCAGCAACAAACAGGCAAGAAATGCAGCAGGGGAAGGGTTGCCCTCCAGGAGGAATGAAGAAAGGTAGCATCAGCTGGAGGTAAGACACGGAGGAAGGGAGGGAAATGGAGAGTGGAAGGATTCTTATGTGCAATGTGGGCTTTGTGTTCTTAAGGAGTGTTTGGCAATTTCTATTTGGCTGATGTCTCCTGTTAGCTTCTATTGTTCTGCTATTGTTAGCAGTAAGTTTTGCTGCAAGGGATTTTGAAGTATTTTTCTCCTGAATGGATTTTGCCTATAGCATTCCTTTACTTATGAATGGAGCCATTTGGGGAATCTGCCTTAGCCGGCAGCAATACTTACTACATTTTTTTTCTTCCATAAATGCTGGCTGCACTCATTAACTTTCCTTGCTAGCCAGTAGCTAATTCTTAAAGGGGAATGTGCCTTTTTAAGCTACTTCTCTCAGCAGCCTCATTTTTCTGTCTCTGGAGGCTTTTCCTTGTTTGATGAATATATGGAAGAGGGAAAATATGGGGGGGGTGTTCAAATTCTTCCTTCAGAAGGAGGTGGGCATGAGAAAGAGGGAGGCAGGGAAGGAGGGAGGGAGGGAGGGAGGGAAGGAAGTCCCACCTTAGCACTTGGCCACTAGCAGCCCTGCCATTGACTTTGCTTATCAAAAGATTGCAAAAAGTGATCATATGACCCTGGAACACTGTAATCATCATAAATGTGAATCAGTTGCCAAGCATCCAAATATAAATCACATAACCCTGGGCATGCTGCAATGGTCATAAGTGTGAAAAATGGTCATAAGTCATTTCAGTGCAATTGCAAATTTGAACAGGTTTTTTTTTTGGTCATCAAGTTTTTGACACCTTGCTAGGTGGTACTCGAATATTGCCATAGCCTAAAAGTGGTACAGTCGGTGAAAAGGTTGAAAAGCCCTGCTCTAGGCACTAGGCCTTCAATACTCACCAAGTTCGAGATCCTTCACTTTCTTGACTGCTCCAGGCCTTCGGTGTGTTTGCAGAGAATGGAGGACTAAAGTAACACTAGATTGGGGGACACTTCCGCAGCCTTCTGGATGCCCGATCTGGGCACCAGGGGCCTTTTCCAGGCCATTGCCGCTGAGATCTGAGGCCGGAGGACACTTCTGTGGCCCTCCGGATGCCTGATTTGGACACCGGAGGCCTTTTCCAGGCCACTGGCAACTGGCCTCCGGAGGGCTGTGGAAGCATTCCCCAGCCTCAGATCTGGGCGACAGCAATCTGGAAAAGATCTATGATGCCTGGAGGCATGCGGAAGTTCCCCCAGCCTCACTTCCAGGCAGCATCAGCCTGAAAACGGCCTCTAACGCCTGGATCTGGCCTCTGGAGGCATGCAGAAATGCCTCCCAGCCTCAGATCCAGGCAGCAGTAGCAGCGGCGGCAGAGAGGAGATGGATCTTTTCAAGGTGAATCCAGCGCAGCATGAAGGGAGGGGAAAGCATGAAGTATCTTAGTGAGTCAGGGAAGTCTTGGGGATCTGTTCCATCACTAGGCCCTTCATGGCCTTCCCCACCCTGAGATACCTCATGTTCATTTAATGAGTTGCGCACATGTTAACGAGCAGGGAGTGATCTCATTCAAGATATGAGATACACTCGCATAAGTTTACGAGTTACAAATAGAATATGCAGGCTTCATTACACTCGTAACTCGAGGACTACCTGTATATGATCATGACAGCATAAAAGAGGAGTCCAAAATTTCACAAATTGCAAGAGTCTTTGACTATGAGTATTGTGAAAGGTCACAAGTTCACCATTGACTTCATGCACTTCTGGAGGCAGTGTATGAGAGAAAGGCTACATGAGTAAATTATAATATTCTTTGTATAAACTTCTTATTAGGTTGTGAAGATATATTATCTGAAGTTATCACAGAGAATGGATATAAAAAGAGGGAACATTTTGGTGAATATTGGTGAAAAAAGATAAGGAATGGGCCTATTGCACAAATTAAAATTTCACCTTGGATGGCATCAATATACTAGCATTCAAATATACTAATAATATACTGGCAATCAAAAGAAAAAAAGAAGAAACAGAGAGGGGCATGGATTCAGGCTGTATGATGATGGAAATCTGCTAAGTATCGTATTTCCCCGAAAATAAGACCAGGTCTTTTTTTTTTTTTTTTGCCTCCGAAAGAGGCACCAAGTCTTATTTTCAGGGGTGTCTTTTTCACTCACCTCCAGCACTGACAGCCCCACCCAGCCGGTCCACTTCTGCGGCTGAAGGAGCAGCTTCATTCTGCAGCTTAGAATGGAGCTCAGGTCTGCATTTTGCAGTCAGGTTTTTCCAGAAGGCCTCTGCAGAGGCCTCCCGAAAAGGCCTCTGACTGCGAAATGCAGGCCTAGGGATGCCGCAGAAGAAGTGGGCCAGCGAGGAGAGGCATGGTTGCAAGGTAAGGCTCCACCCCCCTTTTGTGCCTCGCCTCAAAACTAGGGCTTATTTTTGGAGTAGGGCTTATATTAGGCCCACCCCCAAAAATCAAGTTAGGGCTTATTTTCACGGTAGGTCTTACTTTCGGGGAAACATAGTAGTTTTAAACAATTATACCTGAATTATATAAAATCTGCAGAAGATTGTTGTTTGAGGTAGCATTCTCATAGAAATTACAGCAAGAATTGGTTCACTATTCTCATAATCAGCGTCTTTACATTGTGGATATGAAAACCATTAAAAGGGCAAAATCATAATATTAATGAAGACAAGCAGGAGGATTGTTGATTTTATAACAGATTCATCATGTTACAGACTTTCAGAAATATGCAACAGTGGGGTCCTTAGTGCTCTCTGAGTGTGTTTGTTTTCTTGCAGACCTTTTATTACCTAACTATCAGTGTTATGTAACAAAAATCACGTTACCTAATACAACAAATCTTTCTAAGACAAATGAAAAGATACTATTGTATATCTCATTATAGAAACAACATAGCTTAACATTTGGCAATCCTTTTCTATTTATTAATGAGAAAAATGGTAATATTGTACCTTCCAAAAAAGTTGATCTATAGTCTACTGATTCACTTGACACCAATTCAGTTGTAGGACTTACACTCCTTGCACTCACAAGCCTGTCCAAATGAGGAGTGTGTACTCTTCCATCATAGCGAACAATCTCTCCACCTAAATCTTATAGAAGAAAGAATGTCAATATTACAAAAAAAACCTGATGTTTCTATTATTATCATTCTTAATGGAACAAACAATAATTCTTATTCTTCTTAAAATATCTCATCTTTCCAATCAAAACCATATATTGGATTAGGCCAAGGTTTATCTTAATCCAGCATTTTGTTTGTAACAATGGTCAAGTAGATGACTCTGGACTGCTTGCAAGCAGAAGGCAACCTAGAGAAAACAGAGTTTTCAAGACCTAGAGTCTTTGATAGACCTGTCCTCCATGAATTTATAGTTATTTAGGTTAATGAGCATCACATTATGTAGCAATGAATTTCACAGAGATTATTTACAAACACTGACATTTACTGTATCATTCATACATTATATGAACAAATGCTTCCTCTTGTTTTAAACTGCCTTCCAATCAGCTTCATTGGATGCTTCCTTTTTGTAGTGTTTTTTTTTGGGGGGGGGAGAGGGAACCATCTCTAGTACTACATGACTTGCCGTATCATTCATGATTGTATGGACCAATCATATCTTCCCTTTGTAACCTTTTTTTCTAAGATAAAAAGTTCCTAACAGGTTAAGGGTTTGATCTGTCTGGTTACTTGGACTGCCCTTTTCTTCATCCTATGCTTATTGTACTAAAATGGAATTGCTTCTACTATTTATTTGACCATTAAGCTAATTTGAAGAATTCCTACTGGATTAGTTCACTTTTGTTTTTTTACTATTCTGCATATCTTATTCATTATTATCTGCAAACATGGCCAAGAAACTGTTTACACCCAAGTTAAAGTCATCTATGAATAAGTTAAATAGTCTGAACACAGATCCTTCAACAATTATACTTCTTTTTACCCTCCATACAGAACAGTGCTCACTTATTCCTACTTTTTATTTTTTGTTTTTTTAACCAATAAATAATCTATAAAAGCATGAGTCAAGTTATTTAAAGGTCACTAAATTTATTAAAGAGCTTTTGATGAGGAATTTTGTTAAAGACTTTTATTAATCCAAGAATACAGTGCTGACACTACCATCCACATGCCTATTATCTCTATTAGCTGTTCCAAATCCCTCCCTGAGAAAGTCAATATAGGCTCAGGTAATTTGTCCTGTATCTTTTATAGGGGAGACAGATGCAAAGAATTGAGCACATTTTTTCTGCAAATCTTTCTGTTTGTTAGGAAAGAGTTTTCATTTGCTAAATAGAGCTTTCTTATTATTTATAGTTTCTTCAACACTAATAGAAAATGCGGATTTGGTTAACCCTCTTACCTCATGGAATATATTTTAGCCGAGTAAGAATTACTGCAGTTTTAAATAAACTCTAGGAAAGTATTAATGATCATCACCTTTTATTTGCTTTTTCTTTTTTCTCCAAAGGAGAAATCCAAATGCTAACAGCGAGAGAAAAAATGTTGTTGCCACAATGCCTGCAATGAGTCCTGTGAAATTTGAGTCTGGTTGAATCATTACTTTTCCAATAACTGTTGATGAAATTTCTTTCTTCCACTGAAAGAAAGATAGATTAAAAATCTAAAATGTACTAAAACATACAGATATATGTAGCAACAATGACAAAAAATCAGCATAATTTATTTGTGGAAGTTGGGCAGGCATTGGTTTCACTAATAATACACATTTTATCACACATCCACTACAAGTTCGACTTGTTCTTTATTTCTGCTATCAGTAGCTCCTATTCTCTTATTCTGACCTAGGAAAAATGTTAATATAAAATTAATAAGGAAGCAAAAATGATGATGAGGATGAAGATTTATATCTGCCTTTGTCTGCTGGCTCAATGATTCCCTGCTTAGCAAAGAATAATGCAGCATGCAATAAGTTCACTGAGTAATGGGACTTATTCAAGAAGTTTTGCTCAATTCTGCAGATAAGAAAAAAATTGTCTAAACATTTATTCAGTTATCTGAATAAATATTTCATATTGATTTATTTGCTTTATAGGTGGCTCACCACATTAACAATGTGATGATTTCTGTAAGAAGTCACTGATTAATTTTAAGCTATGCCATGCTCTGTACTTCACAATAGCTTATAACATTCCTTAAGATTGCAATAGGAGATAGCTTTTGGTACTCAGATCATTTGTTCTGTTGTTGGTAAAAAAAAAAATGCTATCAGTCTTATACAGTAATTACTGGAATTTAGTTAGTTGTTATCAAGTTGGATTCAGTTCCTGCCAACTATATGAAGAAATATTTTCCATTCTGAATTATTTTTACTAGTAACTTGTAACTCTTCCAAAGACATTCCAATAATATCTTTGATGTCAGCAATCTACCTGATCCATTATCTTTTTTTTTACTTCTCTCAACCTTGCCAAACACTTTCTACCATCTGCTTGCATTCACATATATAGTCCAGGATGTTCATAATAACTGTCTCCATAGCCACAATTCAAAGGCATCTATCATCTACTAATGCTTTCTCAATGCCAGTCTCTACAGACAAATTTTTATCACAGAAAGCCATTGCTTTTAACTATTCTGGGCTTTGTTAGAGGTGTTTGCTTTAATATCTGAAGTGGAAAAGATGTTTCCTATCTAAAGTACGTTCTTGTTGTTGTATCCTGTTGGCAGAATCTTACAGAAGATACACAGTCCTAGAAAAATATGTGTTTGAATTAAGCAGGCAGTAACATGGCATAACCAAATCATCTTGTTCCTTCATTTCTTCAATTTTGCCATTCTAACCATCCAAGAACAATACTATACCATTCCTAGTATTGATTTAGTATTTCTTGCAATTTTCCATAGAATTAATTCTATCATTGTGTCCTAAGAAGCTGGTAAAAAGAAAACACCTATCCACTTTAGAAAAGTTCAAATTGCCGGGACCAGATGGTTTACATCCCAGGATATTGAAAATGCTGGGTGATGTGATCTAAGAACCACTGAACAAAATCTTTTAGAGCTCCTGGAGCAGGGGGGGAACTGCCACAGAATTTGAAAAGAACTGATGTCATTCCAATATTCAAGAAGGGGAAAAGGAGGATCCAGGAAACTACTGTATAGACTAATCACTTGACATCAATACCTGGGAAAATCTTGGAAAAGAAAATCAAGCAGGAGATTTGTGAGCTCTTAGAAATTAACAGGGCAATCACTAAAAGCCAGCATGGGTCTGTTAAAAACAAAACATGCCAGACAAACCTTACTGCCTTCTTTGATAAAGTGACTAAATTAGTGGATCAGGGAAATGCTGTGGATATACTTTACTTGGACTTCAGTAAAGCATTTGACAAAGTAGACCACAGGCTAGTTCTTGATAAAATAGAACAATGTGGGATAGACAGCATCACCACCAGATGGATTTGCAGTTGACTGACCAACTGTACTCAGCATGTAGTCTTAATGGAACTACGTCTACATAGAAGGAAGCATGCCATGGGGTTCCACAAGTGCTCTTCAACATCTTCATAAATGATCTAGATGAGGGGATAGAAGGGGAATTCATCAAATTTACAGATGACCCCGAACTGGGAAGAATTGTCAACACTTTGCAAAATGGACTCAAGATTCAGAAGAATCTTGACAGACTTCAGCATTGGGCCCTATCCAACAAGATGCAGCTCAGTAGTGAGAAAAGTAAGGTCCTGCACTTAGGCAGCAAAAAACAAATGTACAAGTATAGAATAGGTGATAGCTGGCTCAAGTAGTAACTGTGAGAGTGATCTAAGTATCCTAGTGGACCACCACTTAAGTATGAGCCAGCAGTGTACTGCAGCTGCCAAAAAAGCCGAAGCAGTCCTAGGCTGCATCAATAGAGGGATAGCATCAAAAGCACAAGAATGACAGTCATTTTCTACACTGCACTAGTGAGGACACACTTTGAACAATGTATCCAGTTATGGTTACCACGATCCTAGAAGAGTGTAGAAAAGAGCAACAAAGATGATAAGGGATCTAGAGGCTAAACTGTTATGATTAATGGTTAAGGAACTAGATATGTTTAGCCTAACAAAAAGAAGAATTAGGGGTAACATGAGAACTATCTTTTGGTGCTTTTGGCTGTCACAGGTATAAGAGGGTTGACTTATTAACTTGCCTTATCTTGAGGGTAAGATAAGAAGTAATGGGTGGAAGCTGGTTAAAAATAGATCCAAGCTGGAACTAAGGACAATTTTCCTGACAGTTAGAACAATTAATCAATGGATCAGCTTGCCTCCCAGAGTTAGGGATGCTCCATCACTGTAAGTCTTCAAGAAAAGACTGGACAGACATTTTTCCAGGATGCAATAATTGGGCAGGGAGTTGGACTAGAAGACCTCCAAGATCCCTTCTAGCCATATAGTTCTGTGATTCCTAATATGCGCATATCTTCGTATTGATTCTTCCTGGATATCCACTATTTTTAACAGATAAGATCTTACTGTTTACTAGGTTACAGTCAAGCTCATGTAGTACTTAGCAGTATATTTTCTGAATATTACTACCATTCTATTCCATTGTACAGACATTCCATGAATAATTTATAATAATATGAAATTAATTGTTCCATTCCAATTCATCTATGTTTACTTATTTCTAAGGTAGTTTGGCATGCTTCATATTCATGTCAATCCATATATCTAATATTTCAAATACACACACACACATCCTTGTAAATTATCTCTTTCAATATTGGCAGATTTATCTTTTAATATTGGCAATGTAAATGTAATCATGATATACAAAAAGAGGGTGCTTAGCTAACAAAAGCTAATATTTCATCAAGAAAATATTTGGAGAATTAAACTGTGTACATACTATATTTCTACATTTCTTTTTGAAATATGTATAGACAGAAGAATTATGCAAATAATAAGGATTATTAAAAGGCAAAGCTCAAACTTTATCCACAATTTAAAATGCCAAGTTATGGTTGCAAATTTGATTCTGAATTGTAGACAAATTTCCAATTCATACATTTAGCTGAAATATGATGTTGTCACATGGAGAAATATTTTCCTATAAGATTGCATTAATAGTGAAGTAGAATATTTATGAGAGCATTCAATTGTTCAAAATACTACAAAAAGGAGTTACTACAAAATACTACAGAAACATAATTAATAATTATAATTACAAATTTGAGAAAGAAATGTAGAAATACAGTATGAATGATTGATTCAAACCAGGTTAAGAATGCAAAAACTAAGTACTTCCAAACAATTTAAAATATTGCTGCTACTCACTTAATACAAAGTGAGACAAAGACAGAATGAACATACAAAACAACTAGAAATTCAGGTATAGTTAGTAAAAAAGGTGACATTTAAAGCTGAATCATATATGCAATATTAACATAAATATCCTACCACTATATTTAATTCATGGTTGGCTTTGAGCAGCTCTTTAGGAATGGTACAGGAAACAGACTGCAACTTCAAGGTGATGTTCTCACAACTCCGGTTTCCAACTTTTAGTACTTCACCTTTAACAGCTTCAGAATCAATGTTACTTCCCTAAAAAAAAGTTGCATTAATTAAACGTAATAAAGAGAAATAGTAAAACAAAAGGCAGAACGAATACTGGATTGTATTTATTCTTTCCATAGTTAACAAAATGCCATAAGAAATGGCATTTCTCAGTGGCCATTACAATAGATTAAATAAGGTTACTTGGTCTATGGAAGTTACCAAATGATCAAGCAGAAAAACTTGACATTTCAAATAATTACTGAAAGACACTGGTCTAAGTTTACCTTCCTAACATTTCCCAATAACTATTAGTTATTCAAATCAAAGTTACAAAGGATCTTAAAAATGTCTAAATAGATTCACAAATTGTTGCCTGTCACTATGACTGAATGGAGTTCAATGGGAATAAAAATAAATTATTTATAGACATACTGAGTACCTTACACCAGAGTGCAGAGAGGATGGCTACAACACAATAGATCAGAGGTCACCAACCTTTGTCAGTTGGCAGACCCAAAGAAAAGGGAGAAGGAAACATTTTACATGTGTGCATGTCGCAAATAGAGCGGGGCTAGCACCTGCATGATACTCACGAGCCCTGCCCTGTTCTTGCATTGCACAGCACCTTGTTTCTGTGCCCTGCGGTGGCCCATTTTTGCGCTCTGTGGTGCGGCGGTGGCCCGTTTCCATGCCCCGTGGCATAGCATTGTCCATTTTTGCGCCTTGCAGCATGATGGTGCCATTTTTGCACCTTGTGGTGCAGCGGTGGCCCATTTTTGCACCCCAAGGCACAGTAGTGGCCCATTTTTGCGCCCAGTGGCGTGGCATCCTGTTTTTGCTAGCACAAGTGAGGGGGGCCTATCCCACATCCTGTTTGTCCTTTGAGATAAGCTTGACTCCTGATGATTATAAGGACCAATCCATGTAATTTTCTTAGCATCTATGTAAAAGTAATTTGCCACTTACTACATCTGGATTTTGTTTTCAATTCCCAATCCTTCAGGCTTAGAGTTTCTAGTGGTTTTCTATCCAAGTGCTAATAAGGGACAAATCTGCAAATATTGGCTAAATGTTCATAAATTTTCTCAAAAAACCACATTGCAATAATTTGGCAGTAAATTGCCATTTATTTAAATTACAGTCACAAAATAAATCTGGACAAATACTTAATATTTGGTAATTGTTTGGGAGTTAGAGATATTTCCTAAGTCTCTGGAAATCTTATGTATATACAATCATGTTTTAGGGAACAGCACACAGGATACATACAGATATGCTGAAATATAACATCTATATTTGCAATTAGGGAGGAAAATTTCTGGAGGTAACACATTTGTTTGTGAATGATACCAGGATCCTGGATAATCTTACAGGTTGTCCTTGACTTAGAATCATTTGTTTAGTGACTATCTGATTTACTATATTACTGAAAACAATGACTTATGACCTCACACTTAGAATGGTTGCAGAATCTCCATGGTAAAGTAATCAAAATTTGAATACTTGGCAACTGTCTGTCAGATCTGCCCCAGTCTGATCCCTTAGAAAAGTAAAACTCTTGAATCCATTTGAAGTGAAAAAGCACTTTTACTAAGAGGTGCTGATTGCAGGAGAGTCAAGCAGAAACTAAAATTCCTGCACGCTAATACAGAACTAAACCACGTTTTCCCCTAGCTCTCCTCCTGTGGCCCATCTGTGCATAGCCAATCCAGCACTGCCAAGATGTTATGAGAAACTCTAAGGTGTTTGTGCTGGTGAAATTCCACACTCGGGGCAAACGGCCTTGAAGATGCCAGTGCCCTAGTACAAACCAGATTCCAAAATGCTCTGTCCTTCCTCAACTGTCAAATCCCCCCTCCCAATTTTCCACCGTAAAGATATACATCTTTATTGCCCATTTGTTCCCCCTTCCCTTCCCCAATTGATTACAGAAAGCCGCTGGCAAGGCACGAAGCCCAAGCTGATAGATCTGACATACTGCTGCCTGTGACAGGGATGTTAGTCCTGCAAATAAATGAAAAGACATAACAAAGAGAGAAACAAGGTAGATATACAGACAGAATAGGGTACTATTTCAGTTTATTGGGATACTGGTTGTGGAAGCATTTGAGGAGTTTGGCAGCTTTAATGTGTTTAAGATCCACCCATTCAGTCTCTGAAGGAGAAATGTTACTAAATACTGGAGTTTTCCTCGGTGCCTACAGGAGTCCTTAATTTCAAAATGTTGTTCCCCCTCAGTCATGAGTAGCTTAGGTGGTGGTGGCAGCATTGGGTGTAAAGGGGATTGAGTTTCTAGTATCAGTAGGCTACAGTGGTAATTTAAGTGGATGAACCTGAGGGATTTCAAACTAAACCTTGACCAGGTTGATGATTCTTTTGATGGGGAAAGGGCCAATATATTTGAGTCCCAGTTTTTTTGATGGCTGTTTGAATTGTAGGTATTTAGTGGAGAGGTAGACCTGGTCTCCAATTTTAAAATCTTTGGATTTTACTCATTTTTTATCTGTGTGCTTTTTATAAGTCTCTCTCACCTCTTCTAAAGGCTATGAGTCCTGCAACTGGGTAACCCAGTCTTTTAAAAATGAGATGGGGGGGTGGCCAGGGGCAATTCAGGCATGGGCACAAAATCCTGTCCTGTGGCCATTTTGAAAGGGGTGAATCTGGTGCTGTTATGTACAGAATTGTACATAACAGCAAATGGCAGGAGGTCTGCCCAATTGTCTCATTGGTAATTTATGTAACATCTTAGGTATTGTTTTAGCACCCCATTTGTATGTCCACACCCCCATTCATTTCAGGATGATGACTGGAACTGAATCCCTGGGATGTCCCAAGAAGCTTTAAGAACTCCAGCCAAAATATGGAAGTGAATTGCACGCCATGGTCAGAAAGTATTCATTGAAGAGCATGTGTAGTCTACAGATGTGCTGAATGAACAGCTTAAGCCAAAGCATGAGCAGATGAGATTTTTTGGCAGGCCATAAAATGCACCTGTTTGGAGATAAGTAATCACCCAGATTACCGTGTTTTCTGAGGTTTCCAGTAGCTCTACTATGAAGTCCATACAGATTTCCTTCCAGGGGTATTAGACTCCACCACAGATTGGAGGAGCCTTGGTATTTTCCCTTGCTACCACTTGGCTGAAACACAAACTAGGCACCTAGTCACATAACTTTGAATGTCTTTTTTAAGCGACAGCCACCAGAACTGGCACTTAATCAGGTGTAATATTTTTACAAAGTCAAAATATACAGCGTTTTTTGAATCATGGCCTTTTTCCAGGATTAGTAATCTGGCTTTATGGGACATACAACCAGGCTAAGCCCCCTTGCATTGTGCATTCATTTTTGTGAGCCTTTAATCATTAGAGGACAAATGATTCCAGGCTCACAAAAATGAATGCACAATGCTTTTAGATGTCTGCTATGCCTTCTCAACTCTGGGGCTTTGCTTTTGTCTTTATTTGGGTGATGACTGGTACTGCAAGCTGGTGAGATGGAATAACTGTTCTCACTATTTCCTGTTTGGAGCTGTTGTATTGGGACATCCTGGCTAGCGCATCGACTAAAAAAATCTTTGCTCCTGGGAGGTAAAAGAGGGTAAAGTTAAATTGATTACAATACTGTGCCCACTGGACTTGCTTCGTCGATAGTTGCCGGGATGTTTTTAGGGATTATAGATTCTTGTGGTCGGTCCACATCTTGAAAGGGGTCTTGCTCCATTCCAGGAAATGCCTACATGTTAAGAGCACCCAGCGCATCGCATAAGCCTACTTTTCCCAAACTGCCCACCACCTTTCAGTGTTAGTTTCCTAGAGGTGTATGTGCATGGCTGCAAGGCACCCTGGCTGTTCTTTTACAATAAAAGGACTGTTCCCATCACTACATAGCTGTCATCCACCTGAATAATAAATAGGGTGCTAGGGTCTGGGTGTTTTAGCACTAGCTTGGCAGCTGAATTTTTGAACGCTGCCAGATATTCCATTATCCACTCCAGGGACTGACTTGGTTTGAGTTTCCCCTTTTGTCTTTAGCAAACTGGTGATGGGGAAGGTGGATTTAGGTGAATGATGGGATAAATTGGTGGTAAAAGTTTGCAAATTCCAAAAAACTTTGCAATTGCTTTCTGGTGTGGGGCAGGGCCCACTCTAGTACCACCATAACTTTCTTAGAGTCCATCTCTATCCCCTCACGGGAAATGCAGTAGCCCAAGTAGTTGGTTATGCTCTGGTGGAACTTGCACATTGACAGTTTAGTATATAGCAGAGCAGCCTAAGTTTCTTAAGCACCGCTTTGATCAGTTTCACATGCTCCACCATAGTCTCAGTATAAATCAGTATGTCATCTAGGCAGACCAGCACGCTTTTGTATAAGTGTTCATGTATCTGTAACAAAACTCTTTAATCAGGTTCTCAATTTCTCCTATGAGTTTTAGTTACTCCATGCTCCATGCTACACGTTTTCAGCAAATGCTTTTAAACCCCCTTTAAATCATTCTAACATTGACTGATATATACAAGTAAGTTTTACAGTATCTGAATAAATATATATTCCATTTATTTTGACCCACTTGAGATGCTCAACTGATGGAATTAAACCAGAAAACTGAACTTCCCATCCAATAAGATCAACAAACATATCAACACAGCCAAATCAATTCCATGAGAGAACCTATTACAAGACAGACCACAAAAACCAAACATAATACCACTGATTGTTACCTTCAACTCACAGTTCAAGCCATTCAAACATATTATTAATAGGCTATAAACCACTCTGTACAAATGTGCTACATTTTCTCAGACACTGGGTACAAGGCCCAATATTTGCATATGGAGAAATTACTCAGCCTGAACTAGCAACCAGAAACAAAAGGAAGAGCATGCTAATATGGAAACCAGATCTTGCAATAAATCCAGAAGTTTAGATTTACAAAAACAAGTTTTTCATAGACTTCAACAACTTCACATGCAAGATATGGGGCCCCTTCAGCTGCTCGTCCTCTAATATGATACATGCTATTACCAGCCAGTGCCCCTCTGGATCTGATATCAGACAGAAAAGAAGAAGAAAGTAATCACCAACGATTTTAACCTCCCAGAACACTCCATTACAAATCTCAGAGGCTATTCTGGAACAAAGAAACTTCACCAGCACAAATGAGCAAGAGATTGTTGAAATCACATGCATCAAAGGATTTCAGGAAATCTTCATGTATGCATTTTAAACATGTTATAATTGTTAACTGATAAGATACATGAAACTTGCACATGTATAATCATCTTGTTCTCATTTTCCTCCACTTCATTCCAATTTAAATCCTACATTAAATTATTCACTCCAAATATTAGATGCAGCAAGCTGTAGTTCAGAAAATTTTATAGATTTTGATATAATTTGTTAATTTGAAATGATGATATTCTCCTGATTTCTTTTACTATTATAGGAAGTTGCTCAGAGTTACTAACTTTACAACTATATCATGTACATTCTTAAGTATCAAGGCATATAACTGATACTTGAAATTATTTTAAAAATAGGTTATTACCAACTGAAATTACAAACCCTGCATATTTTGTACTAAGAGAAAGGGAAAACATGCTTTCTTAATATATGAGTAGTAAAGTTCACCTTTTATTTAGCTTGATACCCAGCCATCTTTTACCTTCTGTGATTAAAAACTATTCAGCAATCTGTCATTTTCAAATCTGCTTAAAATCATTACCACAGTTTTTGTATAACATAGTATCTATATCAGTGGTTCTCAACCTGTGGGTTGGGACCCCATTTGGAGTCGAACGACCATTTCATGGGGTCGCCAAACAACACAGTCCACCATTTTTTCCCCCCTTTTCCTTAGCTGTGCTACTCCCTTTTATTCTATTGGCTTTTGAAAGCCAATAGAATAGACTCTCTTGAATAGAGTCTAATTCTATTGGCTTTCAAAAGCCAATAGGAATTGTCCAGGCTGTCTCTGCCCTGCTGAGCCCACCAAAAGTCCCATTCTGCAAACGGTGCTGCACCAGTTGAGTAGTCCTCGACTTACGACCAGTTGAGTAGTCCTCGACTTACGACCGGTTGGGGGTTGCGGCATTAAAAAAGTTGAGAACCACTGATCTATATAGATAGGTAAGCCAATAACTATTTTAATAATGTAATACCTCCATAATGCCCAGGATAATCACGGAGGTAAAAGCAGGTATGTCATATAAAACCTTACCTTAATTATTACATTCTGACTTCCCTTGGAAATCAACAATGGTGTTTCAGAAATGGTAAAGTCAGGGTCATTCACATAATCAAAATTAAAACCAGATGAAGTGACACCATCAAAAATGAAAAACATTTTTGTCACAAAAGGCAGCATCAGCTCATAGGCTTTCAGTGAAGGAGTTGTACAACAGATTATTTCAGAATCTGAACGATGGTCACATGCCTGTAAGAAAAGCAAACTAAGTAGATGTATCTGGTAGTATTATTATATGAAAGACTGAGTTTTATCTTTTTGTTGTAATCACACTGCAGTTATAATATTTTCTTAAAGCGCATGAGCATTGGAAATTATATTGAATGACTATTTATGCTGACCATAGAAACTTAAGCAGGAAGATGTAAATGTACCACTGATAGATGTTGAATTATATATTAAGCATTTTTATTTAAAATCTTAAACTACATATGCATAACTTCAGTGCATATTGGATTTCGCCATTCACCTCATTGGAATAGAGGTCTACACTTAGAGATCTGAGATAATTTGTTCTTACAAAAAATTATTTATGCAGCTATAGTATAAGACATTACTCAACTTCTACTTTCACTTAAAAACAAAGGCGTAGAAGAAATAGTCATACTTAAATGTAGAATGTTTTTATTTATTTTAAAAATGTAGGTGCTATTTTGAAAAACAAATTTGCAGGGAAATCTCAACGAAGACAGAGTATCAAATATTCAACTGGAGAAATTGAACATAATTCTGGACTGCCTTCTACCAGTACCAAGAATGTTTTAGTTCCAGCACAATGATAGTTGCTCTCCAGATGTTGCTGATATACAACTCCCAATTACTCTAGAATCTAGATAATGTGACACATAGTAAGGTATGTTAGAAGTTGTAGTTTAGACATATGTAGAAAATCATCAATTTCCAATCTTTTCTTGTTGTTTACGTGTCTTATTATCTTCTACCAATTTAACACATTTAACCCAATGGCAATCTAAAAGTGTTTTACTCTAAGAAATGGATTAAACTAAATAACTTCCTTCCAACTTTTAATCCATACAGTGAAATATTGCAAACCATTTCATGCTTTATAAATATATTAAATATTTTAAATTAACTATTATGTAACAGGTTATCTAAAGAGAAAATTATCTTAAATCACAAAAGAATATAAGAAAATGTAACAAATATAAGATATATTACAGTATAAAAACTTAATACATGCAAGAATGATATGCAATTAGAATTAGGTTCTCATGCAATTCTTTCATTGTTTATAAAAACTATTTTAAACATTTTGCTCTTATGTTTAAGGTATTCAAGAATAGATAATTACACAGAGAAGTAGTTGTATAGTTCAAATAAACCTATAATACCATAGCACATTTCATTAATACAAATTCATTGCACTTCTTATCTACTGCAGAGTTAAAAATGTCTTTTAAATTAATAGTGGCATTTTAACCTAGTTTGTGGTCATCTATTAGAATGGGATCTATAGCTTGTTACTTTATCTGCCTAGACTCTGAAAAGCATGCTTTCAGAGAATGATAATAAAATTTAATAATGATCTTTTGTGATGATGCAATGTGACTGATTGGAAAGGTCACAGTAAATCACATTTCTAATGCCCTTACTGTTATGTTATTTGACACAACATTTTGACTTTGAAATTAGTTTTAGCAATTGAAAAATGTGATGCTTTCATGAAATAGTACATTGTTTCCTTTTTTTCTTATAGATTATCAAACCAATTAAGACTAAATTAAATGCATCCTATGTTAGGATGCATTTTAATTTAGTGTTACTTTAAATTTTTACTTTAAATTTTTACAATAATACATAACTACTAAGTATATGTATTTACAAAATAAATAGAAATATTTATTTTGAGTGCTTACAATTGTTTTAAATTAAAAAAATCAATTATATTTCAGTATTATTTTTATTTCCACCACCTGTCCCTATGAACACAGGAAGACAACAGACCATATGGAAGAAGAAACATTTTCACAAAACCCACATGCCTGTAAGACCCACATGTGTCTTTCAGAAACAATAATGCGACCTATGAAGTAATGAATATAAACACTACCTATAAACTCCAGTAACTAATTAATTTTTTCTTAATTTTGTGACATAGCCATAAAACTAGAAAAAGATCTGTGTACATCAAGTGGACAACTCAGATAAAGAGATAAAAATGGCCAGGCCATTACAATGCCTGAGATAAAATGTTTGAAATAGAATCCCAAACTTTGATGCATTAAAATGCTAAAGGAAAAGATATAATTCCAAATAATTATCACAAAAGTATTTCAAATCGTCACTTCACACACTGTGCAGGCCCACACCAATGAACAGTACTTATAGTGTTTTATATTATACAATTTGTGCATGCCAAAACATAGTACTTAGTTTTTGTCTGTTTGCAACAGCAGCTGATTTTGCATAGCATTGCTAACTTTAGACTCATCTGTACATACTTCTAAAAAAACCCAAGCTCTATGAATATTCATTGGTATTCATATCCAGTTAAGTATGTATATCATTCCTGGATTGCTTTCATCTTCACTTACTGGACTGATGTATTTATCAACAGTACCGAACAGCACAAAACTATTCCTGCTGGATCCTACCAATTGTGCTAACAATGGCTTTTGGGAAGCTCATAAACATGGACAGGAGAATGACTGCCATCTTTTACTGTTGTTCTTCAGTGATATTTCAGATATGTTATATATTTATGTGCACATTTGAGTGGACTGGATGTTTCTAATCAGAAGATGCTATTCCTATGTCTCCCGAAAGTCAATTGGTTCCAACTAATATTGTAGTTTAGGGCAGTGGTTCTTAACCTGGGTGATATTGCCCCCCAGGGGGCGATTTTGTTTTCAGGGGGGCAATGGAACAAAAAGGGGCGACGCAGGGGCAAAGGAACGAAAAGAGGGCGATATGGGAGCGATGGAGCGAGAAGTTTTGGGGACATTTTTGAGACTTTTTCGTACAGTGAATCGCTGCATATCTGTCGTACAAAAACATCATATCGCTCGCTATTAGTGGATTGAATTGTGTTTTCAAATGTTCCTCCAGCTAGCTTCAGTACAGAACGCTATACATGTGAATACGCATCGCTTATCTTCATGCGCGTTGTGCAGCAGCCTCTACCCTTTTTATATTTCTTTTTGCGTCTTAAATTTCACTTGTAATTCAATCATTAAATGTTACTGTTTTTCCTTTTGGGCATTTCACTTTCTTGCAATTGAATTTTGTTTTCAGTGGTCATTACATTAAAGTGTCTTGAATAAATAAGAAAATAATGAAATACATGTATCACGAAGTTTGGGAATAAAGTGATGGGTGGCACCAAAATTTTTCAAACAGTTGAGATCTGGGAAAAAGACTAGAAATAAATTATTTGCATCGATATGTCCTGACGACAATTTTAAAGAAAACAAAAAAAATGTTTGCATAAATTGAAGAATTATTTCCTATGTTGTGATTGAGAGGTTATGTTGGGAGAGGGGGGCGATGACAACGTCCTCATTGGCTCAAGGGGGCGATTCTTTCAAGAAGGTTAAGAACCACTGGTTTAGGGTACAGGTCTGAATTTGTGGTGTTATATAGGTGTGTATATAAGCTGGGATGGGTAGCTAGATCTATTCAAGAATATACTTTTGTTAATCAAAAAGTATTTTATTAAATAAATATTGTATTGTATTGGGAAGATCCTGGAAAAATATAATCAAAAAACAGATCTGTGAACATTTAGAAACAAATAAAGTTATAACTATAAGCCAGTATGGGTTTGTTAAAAACAGACCATGCCAAACCAATCTTATTTCATTCTTTGACAAAGTGACTAAATTAGTGGACCAGTGAAATGCTGTGGACATAATATATTTAGACTTCAACAAAGGATTTGACAAAGTAGACCACAACCTACTTCTTGGTAAACTAGAAAAATGTGGGATAGACAGCATCACAACCAGATGGATTTGTAATTGGTTGACAAACTGTACTCAACAAGTAGTCCTTAATAGTACTACATTTACATGGAGGGAAGTTTAAGTAATGGGGTACCACAAGGTTCTGTCTTAGGCCCAGTACTCTTCAATATCTTCATAAATGACTTACATGAGGGAATACAAGGGGAACTCGTCAAATTTGGGATGACACTAAACTGGCAGGAATAGCCAACACCCCACAAGACAACCTCAGTATCCAAAAAGATCTTGACAGACTTGAACAATGGGTCCTATCCACAAAATGAAATTTAATGTGAAGAAAAGCAAAGTTTTACACTGGTCAGGAAAAACCAAAAGTACAAAAACAGATTAGGTAACACCTGGCTTAAAAACAGTAACTGTGAGAGAGGCCTTGGAGTCCTAGTGGATGATCACTTAAATATGAGTCAGCAGTGTGTGGCAGCAGCCAAAAAAGCGAATACAATGCTTATATAAACAGAGGCATAGAATCAAGATCAAAAGAAGTATTAGTACTGCTTTATAAAACCTTAGTAAGACCACACCTGGAATAATGTATCCAGTTTTGGTCACCGCATTACAAAAAAATGTTGACACTTTGGAAAAAGTACAAAAAAAAGCAACTAAGATGATTAAAGGCCTGGAGACTAAAACATATGAAGAACGGATGCAGGATTTGGGTTTGGCTAATCTAGAGAAAAGAAGGACGAAGAGAGACATGATATCAGTATTCCAGTATTTGAGAGGCTGACATAGAGGAGGGGGTTCCATTTATTTTCCAAAGCACCAGAGGGCAGGACAAGAAACGATGGATAGAAACTAATCAAGCAACCTGGAATTAAGGAGAACTTCCTAACAGCAAGGACAATTAACCAGTAGAATAGCTTGTCTTCAGACGTTGCAGGTGCTTCATCACTGGAGGTTTATAAGAAGAGACTGGACAGTCACTTGTCTGCAATGGTATAGGATCTCCTGCTTGACCAGGGGGCTGGACCAGAAGACCTCCAAGGTCCCTTCCAGCTCTATTCCAATTCTTATTAAGGTTTTTGTGGAAGTAAATATTCCCCACAATAGAAGAATACTGCCTTTTATTTATCCTGGATCTGATCTAAAGCAGTGGAGTCTTCTTCAACTTCTACAGCTTTAAGAGATGTGGACATGCTGGCTGGGAAGTTCTGGGAGTTCACACCTCTTAAAATTTGAGAAATACCAATCTAAAGCTCTTACACCACGGGCGTTAAACTCTCTGCGTCACATGATGCGACATATCGTGACTTTTTTGGCATTGCTGGAGCTGGGGTGGGTGCGGCCTCTGTATGATGCAACCAGCCCGCAGGCCAGCAGTTTGACACCCCTGTCTTACACTATGAGATAGAAAACAAAACTTAATTTCATCTATGTTACCCATTTGGATTCTCTTGTGTTCAACTTTCCCTTAATTCAGACTTTTCTTTTAAATGTATGTTTATCTAATAGAAGAAAATATTTGTAGCTCAAGATTGAACTGCAGGATCCTTGGCATTCTCTGAGCTTGGTTGTTTCTTTACAGACATTTTATTACCAAATTAGGTAACGTCATCAGTGCAGTATGTTTATCCATCCTCCTATCCTTGAATTGGGGAAATCTGCAAGGTCTCCTATTGTGACCATCTATCCTCCCTCTATTGCCTGTATCAAGTCACCCTTATTTGTATGTTTATTCAATTAAACAAAGAAGTGTTCAACATTCCATTTTAATAACAAATGTTGCAAACCTACATTTAATGGATGGGTAGAAAATCATGTCTGCAGCTGTTGTATATTGTGAACTTACCACACTGAAGTTTCTGCCTATCTTTGGGACTGTTACCAACATCTTTGGAGAGAATGCTGAATTCAGGTTTATCCCTTGTGCTGTAATTGTACTTCCACCACTGATAAAATAAAGACATTGAAATAATCTTATAAATATTACTCCAGAAAACTGATTGGTATTTTAATTTTAATAAGTATGCATGCATAGTTGCATTTACAGGATGAAACTAATTTTGCAAAAAGAACATTACAACCCCTGAGCCAACCAGCCTTCCTTCCTTCCTTCCTTCCTTCCTTCCTTCCTTCCTTCCTTCCTTCCTTCCTTCCTTCCTTCCTTCCTTCCTTCCTTCTTTCCTTCCTCTTTATTTCCCATTTTTGAATTTTTTTTCTAAATCCCATCAAAATTTTTTTTTAAAGGTTCAATATGTAAATATTTTTATAAGCTGGGAAATATGCAAATTAAACAAAGATTAGTAGTTTAACATAGTCCTGATGGATCTTAGTTTATTGTTGACCCAAACCCCAACAGCTTTCACCAATTTTATAAACAAAAAAACCCAAACAGACCTCAACCACCTTTCCCATCAAAATACGACCATCAGAATTTTAATATTCTGTTAATTTGTTGACCAGAGTATAATAAGCAGAGTGGAACAGAAGAAATATTAAACAATCTTTCATATCAAGGAATCAGAGCAAATAGAATTCTATTTACAACAACAAATAGAATTCTTACATCAAAAATTCTAAGCTTAATACTATTGTTCTCTTACGAGGAGAGGAACAAGCTGTATAAATCAGTAAGCATTAAATGTTTTTGGATAATTCTGTGATAATGCAATAACAATTTCAGAGGATGCTTCTGGAATACTGTAGCACTACCATGTACTGGTAATTTTTTTTGACAATCTAGAAAGAGCTTAAATATTCAAAATGTCAACTGTTCTAAAAGATACTGGCAGTCTCTAAGCAATTTTTCCTTGTCACAATCTCCAATATTCTTCCTTTTTTTTTCTCTGAACCTTTCTCCATTTGCGCTTAACTGAAGCAGAAAGATGCCTCACCAATAATTGCTTCTATGAGCCACTTTGGTGTAGCAGTTAAGGTAGTGGCCTAGAACCAAGAAATTATGAATTCAAAGTTTCCCTTAAGTATGAAAGCTGGCTGGGTGACTTTGGACCAATCACTCTCCCTCAGTCCAGTATTTCCAAGATTCCTTCAGCCCAGACTTGGCACATACAGTATACGGGCATCATGGGGTTCCGAAACGTATTATCTCAGACCAAGGAATACAATTTACTTCGAAGTTTTGGTGGGAGTTCTTAAGGCTGATAAGCTTTTCCAAAGGGCTTAGCTCTGCCCATCATTCTCACACAAATGGAACCTGTGAATGTTCAAATTCAATCCTAGAGCAATACCTGAAATATTATGTAAACTATTAACATACCAATTGGGCCAAGCTTCTGCTCTTTGCAGAAGTAGCATCTAATAATTCTATGCATCAGGTTTACTCCATTCAAGGAGTAAGATGGAAAAATTCCTGAGATGGAATTTGCACCAATACCAGAACTCCTGTAGAAGCCATCAGTGGCCTCACTGGCAGAGTGGATGGACACTTTGAGAGATAGATGAGTCACAGTGCGTAAGGAATTAGAGAAGGCAAGGGAAACCACAAGAAGCAGGCTATAATGACCCAAAATAATTTACCTTCACAACTTGGAAAGTGGGTGGCTACCATCTTTTTTTTATTATTATTGAAAACTTTTAAGTTTTACAAAAAAATTCCCTTTCCCAAACCCTCCCAACCCTCCCCCGACCTTCCCAGAGCTGAATACAGGCTTAATTAAAAAATTTTTTAAAAAAATCTTAAGACACATATAAACCATAAACAAATCTAAATACATTAATTAAACAAATTATAAAATAGTTAACAACAATATATATAAAAAAAATACAAGAGGAAAGAAAAAAGAAACAGAAAAAGAAAAAATCAAATAAAAAAAGAAAAATAAAAAAAATTAAAAAATGTCTTTAAATTATCTTAAATTTTAAATATAAGTTATTCAAAAACTAAATAATATTTTTTTATATCCAACTTATATTGTATAAAATCTATCCATTTTTTCCATACTAGGAGGTACTTCTCTTGCGATTGATCTTTCAAGAAAGCCGAAATCTTTGCCATTTCCGCCAAATAAGAAACTTTAAGAAACCACTCTTGCAAAGTAGGCAAAGATTCCTTCTTCCAACATTGCCCTACTAACAACCTGGCCGCTGTGATTAAATTTAACATCAATATAATCTCTTTACTATCACAATCAGAAACAATACCTAACAAAAAGCTACCATCTTGATATTTTTTTTTAATCTTTCACCTCATGGATATCCCTGAAAGGGGCCTAAATATCACAGAGTGGAAATATTTTGCTAATACAAATTTTGGAAAAAGACATTTCCTTTTGTGTGTAATTACCGTATATTCCGGCGTATAGGGCGACCTGGTATATAAGATGACCTCCGAGTTCGACGCCGAGTCGCAAGACGATTGACGCCGAGTCGCATGCCCAGAAAGTCATCTTATACGCCGGAAACTACATTATTTCTGGCATATAAGACGATCAACGCCGAGTCGCATGCCTAGAAAGTCGTCTTATACGCCAGAAACTACCTTATTTCCAGCGTATAAGACGACTCAGCTTATAAGACGACCCCCGAGTTCGGCGCCTGTTTCAACGCTCTCAAAAGTCGTCTTATACACCGGAATATATGGTAATAACAAAATCTTTAAGCATGACTGAAGATTAAAGATTGATTTTGCAGTTTATTTTGTAGTATTTTACCATCATTATTTTTTCCATTAGTATTTGTACATCAGTGTTAAAATTCCACTCACCTAAGGAAAGATTTAACTGGATAAATTTTAGAAACAGCAGGGTCTTCTTTGTAGGTAAAATGACCTGCTGAACGACTGGCTGAATCAATTTTCATTTCAACAAGGCATTCCAGTGCTTGTCTTTGAAAAGGACTATAACATTCTATGGTATTAGCAGTCACTCTGTAAGAAAAAAATAAAGAATTAAAATAATCCTTACTATAATCAGGGTCACAAGACATATTTTCAAAAACAGTCTGAGTCAGTATTAAATGTTACTCATAAGAATCCTCAAAATCTATGATTAAACCATAATTTCTAGGTCAAATATAACAGAACTTAACTATGGCTTAACCAACTCTGTCCATTTATTTTTAGTATTTGAAAAAATAATATGCAGATACGTTAAAGTAAAAAAACTTCAGTTCTCATTCCTATGGATTTATTATGCAAAAACTTGATACATTTAAGGCAGATACCTGCAGTTCCTAATACTTCCAATTATACCATAGAAACTAGAAACTAAAGTACATAGAAAGCTGTAAGGCTATCGGGTCAGAAAGGCTAAAAAAAATAACAAACACTGAATTCAGAATTCTCAGTTGTCTAATTACCGTCAACTACAATTCTAATATTTTCTGTTACTACATTAACATGATAAAGAAATGAATCCAACAAATACATGTCAATTTGGGCAAATACCCGACATTAGCAGCATGGCTAACATTGGAGTACAATTCTATGTTACAGTGCGTATTGTAATGTAATGTAATGTGATGATGCAAAAGTCAATCTAACTCTATGTTACAAAAGTAGTTCCTCACTAATATTTCCTGCTTTCGGTGAGGAACAAATATAACATCTTCAAATGTAAATTTTATGTAAACTTTCTTTCACATAATTACAGTTATTTACCTCTATTTAAAAGAGAATATTGTTGCAAATGCTCCCCACCAGGCTTGGCAGTGCATGCTTGGGACCACCACTGATCAAATATCTAGGGCAAAAGGCAGGGATATCTGGAAACTCAAGGTTACAGGAGAAATTGCGTGTTTGAAGACCCACTCATTTTAAACATACATTTAATGCACATTAAAAAGGGCAAAGATCTTCAACTGCAGTTTGGCCCACCATGTATGATAGACTTAAGAGGCCGACGCGTTGTGCAATAAGTTCACATGGTACACTAAGATTGTGTGTTTGTTGTCACTGTGAGTTGTAATGGGGGGGTGCACGAAGGGAGGCTCAGCCAATCTCATTGTACACATGTTGTACTTTGACAATAAAGGATTTATAAATACTTATAAAAAAGTAAACTATCTTGATCTTTTTGATCCAGTCCTATAGTACCTGAATGAGGGGCTATAAGTTATGCATTGTATACCAACATGTGGAGGTAGTTAACAGTGTCAAGTTTCTGGGTGTGCAGCTAACAAGTAGGCTAGCTTGGTCACTCAACAATGAGACACTGGTGAGGTGGGCACAGCAGCACCTGCATTTTCTGCGTCGCATGAGAAAAGTGTATCTTCCTTCCCCTGTCCTTACCACTTTCTATAGACAACGAGTCAAGAGCATCCTGTCATATTGCATTACTGTCATGTTTGAAAGCATTATTGCTTCAGACAGGAAAGCGGTACAGAGAGTGGTAAGGATGGCAAAAAATATTATTAGTAGTTCACTTTCTTCTATCCAGGACACAGCATATAAGCGATCCTTGAGCAGGGTCTGCAGTTTTGCCTGGGATGCTACGCATCCTCTTCTTGACCGGTTTTCTTTGTTACCTTCTAGGAGGAGGCTTTGTGTTATCTGAAGTAGAATATCTAGATTCAGTCACAGTTTTGTTCCACATAGTATTAACCCTGTGAACTCTCAAGTTTCCTCTTTCTGCTATGTATTCAAAATGGACAGTGATATATGTGTGTGTGTGTGTGTGTGTGTGTGTGTGTATAGCATGTGTATATGTATATTATATATGTGTATGGGTAGATATATACTTTCTTTTAAGAGGAGACAACAGAATTTAATTTTTAATGTGTGCCAGTGTACTCACAGTAAAAAATTACAATAAAGGTTATTTTAATCTTAAAAAATATCTTAATCTTAACATGTTTGCAGTATGTAAGTTTCTGTCATCCACATTTAAATTTTGTTTGTATTTGGTCTTGTTAATTTTATCCTGGAAAAGTTTATTGTTTAAGAAGATGTAAAGAAAAAAATGGTATCGTTAACACTTTAAGATTTCCTCCACAGTCACAAAACAAATGCATATATAATAGTTTAGTTTCAATAGTAATATAAACAGTTGGTCCATTTGTTACAAAATCCAGAAGAAAATAGGAAAGGTGAAAAGAAGTTTGGTGATTGCTGTCAATTTATCATTCAAGATGTGTAATTCACTAAATATAGTTTTTGTTCCCCCCAGAAAGAAACAACTGCTGAAACTGAAGAGAACTGCTACTGCTACTGGAATCAACAGAAAAGTGATCAGGCAGTGTCAGGCAACAGTTAAAACCCAATTTTAACAGTTGTTAGTGTGCTTTACTTTTAAAGCACTGTGAGGATTGTAGGTTAGAGGGAAGCCAGAAAAAGGGAGATCCTCTCTCCCACCATCCTCCTGCTTTTCAATTCACCCTCCTTGAATGTTAAAAGGACATTTCTTCCCCCCACCCCATTCTTCCCTGCTTGCTTATTTGGGAAAAATTAATCTTTCCAATTAGGTGTTAGAATGACAGCACTGCTTTGTTGGTTGCTAAGCCCCACACACATTATAATAGAGCCTTTCATTTTAAATCAAGGCTTGACTTTATAGTTTCTGCACTGCACCTCAGTTTAGGACTAGTTAGCCATGTTTGCCTCCCTGTTGCAAAAGCTTCACTGGAAAATGCCATGATTGAGACAGAGGGAGATTCAGGGTAAAATCTGTACTCAATGGAAGAAGAGCATGATAGCTATTAAAGAGGCTAGATTATTTTAAGTTTACCACCAAAATGGTCACAAAAGTACCATCAGTTGGCAATGTGGATGAAGATGAAGCAGGACTCTGTTTTTAAGAAGAAGCTGTTTCCCCAGAAAAAATGAACCCAGAAAGTGAGGGTTAGGAGGTGAGATGTTTGATGACCCCCCCAAAAAAACAGCAACTTATTCACCATCTCTAAAGCAAATATACTGCAACCTCAAGAACAGCATTGAGTGAGACTACTTCCAATATGACCCCATAGTCCTATGCCAAAGTGCCTAAGTAGATAAACAGTAAGGACCGAATTTTTTTATTTTTTTTATTTTTTTGATGCAGAGAAGTGTAGATCTATTTAGACACCATGCAACTGTTCTTTCCACTGCTGGCAGCAAAAGGCAAAATTTGTTGTGTGCTAGCAGCAAAGCATATGCTCAATCACAGCAGGGCTCTTTACAGCACATGAAGCAATTCTAAGTGCGCAAATAGCAAGGTAGTTAAAAATAATCAATTGTGCAAGTTATTGAACAGATTATTGCTTTGAACCACCAGCCCTTCAGCACAGTGGCAAATGTTAGTTTTCAGCATTTTGTCCAGTTGTTTATCCTTAATTAAGGAACTTTTCAGCAGGAAGATGGGACTCCTAGATCATCTAACCCAGGGGAAAAGTTCATCTGAGATACCTGGTTGAGTTTGGGTAGAGCCTGCTTTCTAACCCCTTCTTCAACAAAAATGAATACCATCATTACAGGCACAATAATTGTCAACAAACCTTTTGGAAATAGGTTTTGATTATTACATATGGACTATGATGCGATGAGAAATATTAAGTACAGGCAATCCCCGAGTTACGAGGGGTCACTTAGCGCCCATTCGAAATTATGCAACAAGCGCCCCCTAGTGCTTACGAGCAAGTTCCCAAATCACAAATAATGCAGCACCATGGCAGTTGTTCACCCTTATGAATGACTGCAGAGGCTCTGCAACATTCACCCTATTCCCCCTTTCCCTCGCAACCCACAACTGCTTTGCCTTCCTGCTGCACCGGACTCACTTATCTTGCAAAAATCCTCTCTGCCATGGTTTCTTTCCCTTTGAGGGAGAGGAGAGTTGGCTTGAAAATGCTTTTTGCACTGAGAATGGAAGTTTCTGGAGTCTGTGATCTTGTGCAAGTGTTTGAAGTTCCACCAAATCACAGACCTCAGAAACTTTCATTCTCTACGCGACAGATGTTTGTGGTGCCTGTCTTCTACTCCTGCCCCCAACTCCTTTCTGCCTGAGGGCAGGCCTGAAGTCTTTAACTGAGGGAAAAGGCCAGGCACCTCACACCTGCGTCCAGCCCGCTGGAGCTCACCGTGCCGAGGGAGAAAGTAACCCTGTTGTCTCTGGAGCCTCCTTCAAGATGTTGCTGCCCAGAAGAGAGTTTGTGGAGGCTTCTTCATGCCTCTGGAGGTCGGATCCAGGCCTCAGAGGACTGCTCCAAGCCATTGCCGCCGGGACCGAAGACCAGGGGAGACTTCTGCATGCCCCAGGAGGCATGCAGAAGCCTCCTCCGACCTCTGTTCCAGGTGGAAACGGCTTGGAGGATGCTTCCAAGGCCTGGATCTGACGTCCGGAAGCATGCAGAAGCTTTCCCCGATCTCCGTTCTGGGTGGCACTAGCTTGGAGGAGGACTCCGAGGCTTGGATCCAACTTCTAGAAGGTCTGTTCCAGGCGGCAACAGCTTGAAACTGTCCTCCAAGACCTGGATCTGACCTTTGGAGGCAGGCAGCTGCGTGGCTCTGGAGTTGGGGGGAGCAGGAGGCAAAAAGCATGAGAATTCAGGCATCCATTCTCTACAAAAGAGGATCAATGCCTAAACTTGCACCTAGGGGCTTCCATCAACTCCCCTGACCCTCAAAAACAGCAACTGCAGCAGAGAAGAGACAGATCTTTTCCAGATAAGTGAGTCTGGTGCGGCAAGAAAGGAGGCGGAAGCATCAGGTAACTTAGTGGAGTTCCATCACTAGGCCCACCCATGGCCTTTCCTACCCTGAGATACCTCATGTGCATTTAACAAGCCGTGTGTGTCTTAACAAGCAGGGAGTGATCTTGTTCGAGTTAAGAGATTCATTCCTATGAATTTTTGAGTTATGAATGGAATGGGAAGGCTCCATTACATTCATAACTTGAGGACTACCTGTACCAGAGTGAGTTTGGTCTATTCTGATTTTTGATCCCTCATCTGAGGCTAAAATGGCTGCTTGACCAGGATGCAATCCTAATTCAACCCCAAAATGTATATGGCATTTCTAGTGCTTTGCCAAGGAGAAGAAAAGCATCTTTAGTTAGTTTAAACAGCACCAAAATTTGGAGCATTTTGCACTCTCTGAAGAAGTCAGAAAAAGCCAGAAAACACATATATCCTAGTAAGGGCAGTCAATTTTCAATTCTAGTTAGATCTAACAATGGTTTCTGTACTATATCTATGCTTCTGCAGTATAGAGTAGCCAAATTTGTAGACATAGGTTTATACTCTATACTTTACATTCTAAGCTTTCTCTTCCTCCTTTCCAAGTCAGTGGCTATTTAGGCTGATTTTACAGTTCTGTCAAGCTGGGAATCACTGATTCTTGTCTTGTGAGTTTCATTTCTAAAAGAGATGTTTTGTTCTGAGGATAAAATATATTTCTCATTTGGTTTAGAGTTCCAGGTTTACAATTTATTTAAAAAAAATAAAAATCAACCCCATTATACCTGGTTAGACTGCACTGCTTTTTGCAGATAGAAATTTCTTGCGAATTCCCACTGTTTAAATATTCCCCAGTTAATGTCAACAATGTTCCGCCAGATCTTGGACCATAGTTAGGAAAAATCTGCCTTATTCTCGGATCCTGCATATGGAAAATATTTTATTTGTTACTTAAACCACATGCAAACACAGACACATTGAAATAAAGATAAAATAACTATTAAAATGAAATTATATAATTATAAAATAGTAGTCTTTTACTTACCACATAAGAAAATGTATTGAAAGAGGTATTAGCTTGTCCATTTGAAACACTGCTTGAAACATTAAAACTTGTGTTCTTTACAGGCCCAAGCTTGCATTCCAGTCTTCAATAAAAATAAATGTATTACTAATAAAGAAGAATATTTGTAGCTCAAGATTGACATGAGGGTTCCTTGGTGCTCTCTGAGTTTGTTGTTTTCTTGCAGACATTTCATTACCCAAATTAGGTAGCATTATCAGTGCTAGTAAGGAGTGTGGTTTGCTGTCAGTTTATATTCTAGTGGCTTGCCTGTCAGTGCTGATGGGGGTGGTCTTATAGATTCTTTGATTGGGCTGTTTGCTGTTTGCTTCTTTGGTAGTTTCTTGATTGGCATATTATATGTTTACTTGACTGTTGGTCTGCTATTAACCTAACTCCAAAGTTAACATCATACCAACAATCAAGTAAACAAAACCCCAATCAAGAAACTGCCAAAGAACCCAACAGCAAACAGACCAACCAAATCTCTAAGACCATCCCCACCAACACTAACAGGCAAGCCACTAGAATATAAACTGACAGCAAATTGCACTCTTACTAGCACTTAGTTTGGGTAATGAAATGCCAGCAAGAAAACAAGCAAGCTCAGAGAGCACCAAAGAGCCCTCGCAAATATATTAATCATAACAAACAAAAGAAAAAAACCAGAACCTCATAAGTAAACTGCAACATAAATAAACATACTAAGAATATGACATATCAGTAAAATAAAAATACCTTTAAATTACAGGTGGTTCAGAAATAATTGGGCTATATCTCGATGACTGATTGATAGAATCTATCAATACAAATGTATTTATTTGTAATCATCTTTTTTAAAATACACGATAGAGCAGTATAATTATTTAAAAAGTCTCATCTTAAGAGTTTATAAGAAAAATATCTTCCACTGTATATATTCAAAGAGCATCATATAAAAAAGAGAAGGGATTAGTTACTGCTTTCTCCTTTAAAAGTAAATACTTTCTTAAAATCACCCTTACACTCAGTTATTGCTGTAGAAAAAGATAGCTTCCCAATAAGTGATTGGCTTCACTCAACAATCTGCACAACCTTAAAAACAGATATGCTTGGTGCGTCAATCCACATTCATATTCCAAGTTAGTAACTGGGCCTGTATGAAACAGGCATATGATTTTGTATACTAAATTCATGACATGTTGGAGAAAAGCGATCTATTGAATATTTCATTACACTGTTTTAGCTTAATAAATAACATTATATTAAATCCAAAAAAATGCAAAAGACAAAAAGGACAAAAAAAAAAAAAAACCAATCAAAACATTAAGGTCCATAACCCCCACCACCACATATACAAATATTATGCTTTCTAGTTGATTAATACATTACTACAACATTAGTTCTCACCTCTTGTAATACAGGGCCTCTTTAAACAACTAAATCTAGTTGCACATTTTTGAATTTTGTATTTTAACCTTGTCTTGAACAATATATATATGTTGTTCAAAACAGGGTTAAAATACAAAATTCAAAAATTGGAATATTTTTAGTTTAACGAAGAGAAGGACAAGGGGGGACATGATAGCAGTATTCCAATATCTCAGGGGCTGCCATAAAGAAGAGGGAATTAAGCTATTTTCCAAAGCACCTGAAGGCAGGACAAGAAGCAACGGGTGGAAACTAATCAAGGAGAGAAGCAACCTAGAACTAAGGAGAAACTTCCTGACAGTGAGAACAATTAATCAGTGGAACAGCCTGCCTCCAGAAGCAGTAAATGCTCCAACACTGGAAGTTTTTAAGAAGAGACTGGACAGCCATTTGTCCGAAATGGTGTAGGGTTTCCTGCCTGAGCAGGGGGTTGGACTAGATGACCTCCAAGGTCCCTTCCAACTTTACTACTATTACTATTACTATTATAGATGTATTCATACAAATGGACAGACAATTCAATGTAGTGGTTAAAGCACTAGGCTAGAAACTGGGAGATTATGAGGTCTAGTCCAGCTTGACAAGAGAGCTGAGTGACTTTGGACAAATCACTTTCACTCCATCCAAGGAAGAAGGCAACGGCAAACCATTTCAGAAAAAAACTTTGCCAAGTAACTTCAAGGATGAGTCCAGGTTGTCACCAGGAGTCCACAATGATTCAAAGGCACCCTGTCCCCAAAATCATATGAATGATTTACACTATTTTTCTGGATGAAGTCCATCCAAACAATGGAGAAAGAAAAAGAGAGAAGCATCAAATTAAAATACAATTAATCCAAAATAATTGTATATGATCTCATGGAAGACACTGAGATTGTTTGATTATTCTTGCCATACATCAAAATATCTGAAGAAAAAAAAAACCTTCACATCTTACTTGTTTTTGTCACTAGCCCGGCCATCCACAATGCACCGCTGTCCCCCTACAAAGACTGATATTTTTTTTAAACTGGGCTTATTATTTTTACTGAATCCGAAATCCCACCCGCACAGTGTCAGTCTTGTTGAAGCATAAAAAGCAGCACTCCTTGGAATAATCTAAAGGAGAAAAAGAATAAGAAATTTATGATTTCTAATGGGCTTTGAAGGTGCTTTTTAAGAAAAGAAACAATACTGGCAGAAAATAATTTCTTCTGTTGAAGATACCCTCCCCTTTAACTTAATTGTTCCTCAGTTTTCATTTATCACCATATGAGCTTCCTTAGATATTAGCAATAAATAATCCTGCCACTGCTAGAAAGGTCTGAGTTATTGTGTTTAGGGGCACTGAACAAGCTTTGCATTGTAATAGGTTTTTTTTTAATACTCTTTGGTTTGCTTTTTATGTCTTTCTTGTGGTATGTAAAAGAATACAATGCACTTATTTTATTAAAAGTATGATACTGAATAGAAGAATATCAAACTGATGAAGCAACTTATTTCAGCAACCTGAAGGAAAGCTGAAATGTCTTCACAGCAATGACAGCTTCAAAGGTGTATAAATCAAACACTGTCTTGGGAGCTAAAAAAATAATGCGGCATTTACAATGCTGCCACTGAAAATGCTATCTGTTGGTTACTTCTAAATTTCAAGTTAAAAATAAACTACATTCTAGCAATGCAGTGACTATATCAAAAGGAAATGTTCTTCCCCCTCCCACTCTAACCACCTTCTGTATATTGTAAATTGTACTGTAAATGTAACAATGGTGGGAAAATGCATGAATAGCAGAGAAGTTGTACAAATTTCAGTGGAGGGCAACACACTATCAATAAAACATTGACAAAGCCATAGGGCTTACAAAGACATGTCATCTAACTTTGCAAACATTCAAGCCTGGTCAGAGAACAAAAGACTTTTTTATACTTGTGATAGAACTGGTAAAGTATTTTATAGAAGTTGCAATTTATTCCTAATAAGTAGCACAATTGTGTCTTTCATCATGAACTCTGTTTTTTCATGCTGGATCTGAAAAGAACATTTCTATAAAAATGCTCAGGTTACTGTTCTCTTTGAACATCTGGTAACATTGACATTTTTAAAAAACAAACAAACAAACAAACTGTATCTACATAATGTACTTAGCTTAATTCTGTAAGAATGTAAAAAATTAAATGCCATGGGAAAATAGTTCTCCTCAACATGTAAACACAGATTAAACCATATAATAGTGAAATAATTGTTCCAGGCAATAAAGAACCAATCCAATTCCAAGCCCATTTGAAAGTCCCACAGTCATATTTGCACATACTTGTTTTCCTCATGTTTTAATTAGTAAATGCTGCCAAAGGGAGATCTCTCCTTTAGAATTGGTTAATTTTTCAAATAATATTGAAAATGTAACCATGTACAGGTGACATCTAGGTATCACAACCTGTAGTCCTGCATGTAGTCTTTTTGAGGTTTTGGTGTTTGGTGGTAAACCAGTTGAAAACAACTGCTGCATAATTTAGGATTAGGGGAAAATAGTAAAACCAATATAAAAAATTCAGAAACATTTTATAATTATTTTACCCTTTCAACTGAAACCTTTTCGTCTTTTCAAATGTCCCACAATGACAAAATCAGTTGAGCAGATATGTATGAGGAATGGAGAGAGAAATATTTACAGCTGTTTAATTTTTTAAAAGATATTGGGTGATGGCATAACACATATCCAATATCTGAAATCCTTTTTGCTAAGAGATTTATGCTTGAATTTCAATCTGCTTGAATTATCTTGTTGGGCCACTGCCTGAGACAGAATACTTTATTTCTTCCCTGTATTTGGCTATTAAATATTGGGTTATACCTGGCTTGTCTTTTGTTACTATAGACCATTGTAGTGTGTGCTTTGGCAAATAACAAAAAAAACCTGGCCTATATGCACACAAGGTCATTTGAAAGTGCATCAAATATTGTGATAGGGATTTTGAATAAACTTTTATTCAACCTTAGTAGATACTTGCAACCACGAATAACACTGAAAAGATGTCAGTGATACCAGCTGTTGAAAGATAATGGTTGTGTATAAGCAATATTCATTTATAATATGCCATGAAGCAAGTCCCCAGATTTTGTAGGCATGATAGTATTGCCTCAGGTGCTGGTAAACTGATACCAAGCCAGAAGTGCTAAAAGAAAAAAAAAATATTCTTCTATTTCCCAAAGTGATTTTCAAATGTAACTTTTGTATGAACAACTGATGAAAACTGGTCACTCTCTTTTTCATTTGTACTAGAAGCTATTTTGATTTGCTGGCCAGGCCTGTAACTTCAGAAATATAGTATTTTGCTAGTGAGGACAGCAGTAAATTTCTCTAGAAGAGAGAGCTGGTTTTTATTTGTTCTTCTCATACATTCAAAACAAAAAACAAAAAAAGAAAAAAGAAAAGAAAGAGGAAGGACATAGAGCCAAAGTTGTAACTTCTGAACCTTGGATGATTATTTTTTTCAACTAGCTTTTCTTGCAATAAACTCTAAACATGTCCAAATAAATTGCTAGTTCAAGCATGCTGACTATATTGATTTTATTTGGATTGCTGTTACTGTTACTTTCCATGTTTTTCCATGTATTCCCTTTCCCCAAAAATACTTTTTATATCTCAACATCTGATTTCTTAATTTTTCTAAAATAAAATTTCTTATTAAAAGCATCTCTATTTGCCAAGATTTGATAGCTTTCATAGTTGATATTTCAGAACTGACACAACTTCTGGTTAAGTTCCTTATTCTGGGCTTTGGGGGAAAAGATCCAAACCACCTTTCTATTTATTTTCCAAGAGCTGAGAAGAGAGAAATCCCTGGTAGGAAAGCTAAGTTCAACAATTCTACTGTTCAAGCAGGTTTTAGTCATCTCTATTTAGAGTTAAAAGGATGGGAGTAAGAGTATCAAATAAGCAAACTTTAACTAGAATGCTACAACTGAGAAAGGTATCTGTTACTACTTCCTTCCTATTTTTGCTTATCATATTTGTCCAACTTCACACATACAAAATGGGTGAGGTTTCAGTTGTACTGGTACAATTGCCATTGTGACATTTTGTGTTGTCTCCCCAATCCCAACACTGTTGCTATGCAGTTTTAACTGCTATGGATTTAAATGATGTTGCCCACAATTTGCAGAAACCTGTGGAGTTGTACCATTTGTTATAGATGCTTAATCCCTTGTGTTACAGTAAGGCTAAAAGTTTGAATGGATTTAGATCTGTAGCTGTTACTGCTTGGGTGATTCTGTGATCTGAAATTCAATTAAAGGTTTTCTCACCACATTATTGGCAAATGTAATATTGATACTTTTGTAATGACTACCCTATGTTGACTTTAACGTCAAAATTATCATTTAACATATTTTAATTATATTCTTCTTTCCCAAAAATATTTTATATGTTAAGGATTTTCAGGTTTTATTGCAAATACCACAGGTTATCTTGCATTTCTAACAGCCAAAACAGTCCCGTGCTATATTAAAGCAATATGCCAAATATGAATTATCTTTTTTTTAGAAGTACTGTATGACTAACTGTCATGGTTCAGCAAACTATAAAATCTGCTTGAGCAGCTAGCAGCCATAAAGATTTAGGAACCCAGATGCATCATTTATTTCCTTTTAGAAACAAAACCTCAAAATCTTCCACTTACTATGGCACATGCCCTGGGGGTGTATTACTATTTATCATTGTCATAGAATATTTACTGCATTTTCTAAAATATATCCAGCACATGAATTCTGGCTTAAAAATCAATCGACTACACTCTAAGATTCTTTTTTTCTCATTTATTAACTTCATACAGAATTACCCCTCAAAAAGCATAAGCACTGTAACCATTTAACAAATTACCATTTTCTTTTTTTTTTAAGTGAGATAAAGCAATAACCCAACCCCGACCTTTGAAATTACTTCATGTAGGTTGGTAATACAGAGATAATATGCTCTCACAATGTCACAAAGAGCCAAACAGGATGGCTTGGAACAATTTTATGCTAACTTTGAAGACTCATCAGAGTGTGACATCTCAGCCACACTAAGGGACCTTGCCCTTGTCCTGACAGGAATAAAGGGACTTAATGTAGCTTTAAATATGATTTACATTCATTCAAGGACCCTTGACCACTACATGCACTACATCAGAGCCTAATGTAACTATGAATCAGACTTCATAATTTAAAAGTTATTTAGGGTCTGCCATCTACCCTCATTTAGTTTGTATGGGCTTGCTTAAAACGAATATAAAGGCTCCTTTTCAAATGAGATGGATTTCCTTTGCTGTGGTGCTTCTGTATATATTGTAAAGTGCAGGACAGTGAAAGGATGTTCGCTAATCATTCCTGAAGTCACAAGTGATTTATAAGTCACTATGGAAAACATTATTTCCCATTATTCTGCTAATATTCCATTTCTGTGCAGTTTTCTCTTTTATTTCAACATTGCTTAGAATACATGTTTAAGTTACAATAACAACACATTTTTTATTTTCCCCATCAGATATGTTTTGAATGCCATAAAACCTTTATTAAAAAATAAAGCATTTCAGGGTTTATTACGTGTAGGTTTGTCCAGGTAAAAATAAAATGATTGCTACTGGAAAAAAATACAGTGTAATATAGCTGGTAATAATGATATGCATTAGGATCTACAAATGGCATAGCCATTCTGTAAAACTAGACTTTCATAATTATGTCACACTTAATAGGAAATTATTTGATTAAACACAGAGACAATCTCTGAAGATCTTGCAGTGACCATAGCTAAATGAAAACAGCAATGAGCTATTATGTTCTTTACCCCTTTGTGTAATATTACTCTTATTTCCTCTTTTATTTACAAACTTTTAAAGCTGAAATGGCTACTGTTTCCCCTTTAAAGTGGTTTATATGAAGACTACAGAGTGCAAGATAACATGGACTGCTTAAAGAAAAAGCACTAACTCTCTAGAATTGACATCACATTTTTTTTGTGAAAGAAAAAGTTCTAAACAGAGGCAAAAAAACATTTATTCCAATCAGTTCCAAGATTTTCTGAAAACAGTATCATACTGTTTTAGCTGTTTTTATGGATTGTTTTGAGCCACCTATAATTAAAATATATAATATACTGTAGGTGTCTTATAAGTGATGATATGATATGATATGATATGATTTCTAATTATTTTTGTTATCAAGCATAAGCAAGTCATTCCATGGAGTGAGAAAGATTAAAAAAAAGATATGATTGTATATCTATTCTCAACTTTTAAAATGGTAGGTTATTCACACATCTTTCCATATTTATGACTTAGGAATTAGAAATCAGGTGTAAAAGACAGTAACAGATCACCTTTTCTTCTCTGAACCTCTGCCAGTTTTTAACTTAGCTGCAAATATCAGAATAAAGCCTCATACATTTTCCTATCTCAACCTTTACATCTGTACTGCTTTCACCTCATGTTGTAAACAGAAGCTTTGACAAAAAAAATCAATTAAGAAAACAGTTGCCATGAGATGTTCAGACATCTGGACCATTCTATAAACTAACATAAGGAACACAACATAATTTTTGATTTACAAGCAGAAATGCTTCCCCTATATTATGGTTACTTTGTGCTGTAGTTTTACGCTTCACTGACATCCCATAATGTGACAGTCTATGCAGATTTCAGATAATTGGGGATGGGAAGGAATAGAGAGAGCCAAAATATAAATAGGAAATGTAGTCAATTAACAGCAGTAGACATCATCTCCCCTCATTTGGGAATAAGTTAATTATTCTTCATTAGGTAATACCTTTCAAAAATGGAAAAGAGAATCATACATACTTATTGCTATATCAGCTTACAAATAATTTGTATATGTTATGTATGATCTGACTCATATTACAAAATCCCAGTAAACAAAAGGGTAATTTTACCTCAGAGATTTTAGGTAAACATATGTTCTGTGTCCATCCTCCTATACTGCATTCCTGTGGCCTTACACACTGATTGCCACACCATCCACAGTTCATAAAAGAAGGTGCTAGAAGGCACTGACTGCAGATGCTAAAGTGAGAACATCCTGGTCCATTTAGTGGAATCTTGGTTACCTAGTGGGTAAAACATGACAAAGACATAGAAACGAATTATGAATTTGTACAAAGCTAAGGTGCTAGTAAATTTTCAGTACCTAACTTTATGGCCAATACAAAACAAAAAAACCCAAACATATTATAGCTTAGTATTATGTGTAGAATTTACATCCTGTGAAATCTTCTTGGTGCCATGAATGACAGCTACTCAATACACTATGGATTCTTGTGTTATTTAGCATGCATTTGCTGTATCTTGTTCAGGCATTTTTTTCAGTAACAGATCATTGTTACTCCATTTGCATTTCTCCAGTATTTTACCTTTTTTGGGTTGCCATAAAACATCAGCTAAGGAGGAATTACTGCTAATCTCTGGAAGCAACCTGTCTGTCACCAGGAACTGTACAACAAGGATTTCTGATGAAGCATGCAAAAAATTATCTATCTCATTGTATTTGCAAAGGTGCTTCATATTTTGTTACCATAAATAAATAGATTACAGGTAATCCTTGAGTTACGACAGTTCACTTAGTGAACATTTGAAGTTACTACATCACCTCTCGCAAGTACTTACAACACAGTCCCAAGGTTATGAATGGTACAGCACTATGGCAGTCGTTCACTCTTACGAATGACCACAGAGACACTGCAATATTCGCCCTGCCTATTGTCCCTCCCCCCGCAAGATCTCCACAGGCACTGGGCCTGTGGAGACTCACTTATCTTGCAAAGATCTAGCGAGCTGTCTCCTCTCCAGCCTCTTTGCTGCAGTTTCTTTGCCTGCTTTGGTGCTTCAGGCCTTCTGTGCATTTGCAGAGAATTCACTACTGATCTCACGTGATCTTGTTCTACTTTAGACCTTCATCCTCTGCAAATGGAGGCCTGAATGAGATCCATCCATTTGTTATTACCTTGCAAAAGCCCACAGAGATGACAAGTTGTCTTTGTAAAATGCCTTTGGCATAAAGAATGGAGGTTGGGAGGGGCAGCGCGCTGCTCCCAACCTCCATTCTTGGTGGCAAAAGTTTTTTGCAAAAATGATTGGAGCCTGCAGGGACACAATGTATCACCCCTGCAGGCTTTGGCCAGCTTTTTTCAAGGCTTTTGCTGCCAAGAACGGAGGTCTGGAGCGCTGCACACACCCCTCCTGGACTCCATTCTTCGCGCCAAAAGCTTTTTGCAAAGATGACTGGAGCCTGCAGAAACGCAGGCAAAGAAACCGTAGCAGAGAGGCTGGGGAGGACGCAGCTCGCTTGATCAAGATCTTCAAAAGATGAGTCTCCACAGGCCCAGTGCCTGTGGAGACCCGGTGGGGGGGGGGGGAAAGCATGAAATATCTCAATGGGCCGGTGGAGACCTTCAGTGTTTGGAAGCACTACCCCCCATGGTCTTCTCCACCCTGAGATACTTCATGTGCACTTAGTGACCTGAACATTCCATTAGCGAATGCATTGGGTAAATCAGGGAGAAATCATGTCAACAAATTCCTTGGGTTACGAATGTAATTGGCAGGCTCTATTACATTTGTAAGTCGAAGAATTATGTATAATGTAGATTCTAGATAATTTACAGGCTGAAGTTGAGCATGATTGTGACATTAATAGGGCTTAATATTAAATATGTATAGTTAAGATCACAATCTGGTCAATTTAAATTTCAACTTAAAATCTATGTTTATGCATGCCCAGGTTCAACATTAGCAGACATTTAAACAAGAACAAATAAAATCTAACTATACACATAATCTAATTTCTTTTTTTTATTTTTTTTTATTGAAAATTTTTAAATTTTACAAAACAAATCCCTTCCCCAAACCCCCACCCTCCCATACCCTCCCCCATCTTCCCCAAACCTCCCATACCCTCCCTCAACCTTCCCAGAGCTGAGTATAGGCTTACTTAAAATTTTCAAAGAAAATAAAAAATAGAAAAAAACTTAAAATACATATAAATCCTAAACAAATCTAAATACCTTAAATTAAACAAATTATCTTCTCTAAAACATAATAGTTGCAAATGTTAAACACACATTATAATATACTTTAAACATTTTCTAGTATTATACTTATATTATTATCCATCATTCTATATAGAATCCCCAAAACACGAATTTAAACATTACTTTCTTTAAATATCCATACCTACAATATAAGATCTAATCTCCCTCTTTCTTTACTCTAGAGCACAAAAATAAGCATATAAACATTCATTATACCATTAAGACTGGATACTCTTTTGAATAGTTAAACTAAATACTTAAATACTTATATTTAAACTTCTTATCTAAAATTTTCATTCAATCTCCATAATCTTCTCTCCTATCAAGAAAAGAAAAAACTTAAAAAACATATAAATCCTAAACAAATCTAAATACGTGTAATTAAACAAATTAGCTTCTCTTAATTTAATTAAAAATAATAATAATAGTAGATCCCATAAACATAACTTAAAACATTAAAATTCCCTTATACCTGTTTAAATCTTTACCAATAACAAATTCCTCCACAGTAAACACATTCCTTCTCTTATCCATAAACCCCTTAAAGGTAATATAAATCCTAAACAAATCTAAATACATTTAATTAAACAAATTAGCTTCTCTAAAAAAAAATAATAATAATAGATCCCATAAACATAACTTAAAACATTAAACACATTCCTTCTCTTATCCATAAACCTCTTAAAGGTAATTCCAAAAAAGTTTGTAAATCTTAGTTCTCCCGCAATCTCAATAATCTTCTAAATACTTAAACTAAATACTTAAACTTAAACTTCTTATCTAAAATTTTCATTCGATCTCCATAGTCTTCTCTCCAATAGCCAGTTCCATCCACTGTAAACACAATTCTTATCAGTCTCTCTTGTCCATAAATCTCGAAAGAAGTACTTTAAAATCTGCCCTTAAAGGTAGCTCCAAAAAATTTGTATGTCCTGGTTCTCCCACAAACACAGGAACCAATACTTGTGAGGCTTCCTTAACCTCCTTCTTCTGTTGGTCTTTCTCTTTACATTTATATGTTGCACACGTTGTCCTCTGCTCTTTCATCTCGACTTGTTGAGGCCCCTCAAACTGAAATTTCCCATTTTTAATTAATATAGGCTCTTCACAATGCAATTCTGCCCTTAAAGGTTGCTCCAAGGAGTTTATAAATCCTACTTCTCCCGCAGATTCAGGAACCAATACTTGTGAAACTTCCTTGACCTTCTTCTGTTGATCCTTTTCTTTACAATTGTATGTCACACCAGTTGTCTTCTGCTCCTCCATCTCTACTTGTTGAGGCCCCTCAAACTGAAGTTTCCCAATTTTCATAAGTGTAAGCACTTCAGATTGCAATTCTGCCTTTTTATCTTCCAAAGCTTTAAACGTGATAGGTGGCGATGAACATACCCCCAGGACCGAAGTATAAAAGTCTTTTGCTTTAGAAACAGTATTAAGACTATAACGTATCCCCAGGTAATTCACCACCATTCCAGTCGGAACATCCCATCTAAACAAAATTTGTCTCTTTTTAAGTTCATCTGCTAAAAAAGCAAACTCCTTTCTTCTTGTTAAAATTTTAGATGGGATCTCCTTTAAAATTATAACATTTTGTGAAGCAATTTGAAACCTCTTCTTATAAAAAGCTTGTATAATTTCATTGCGCAGGGATCTTTTCCCAAAGTAAATTACCACATCTCTTGGCAAATTCTTTTGCTCTGCCACCACAGAATTAACTCTAAATGTCTGTTCAATTTCACTAAGTATTTCCTCTTTTTCTCTATTCAAAATCACAGCAAAGTCCTTTGCAACCATCTCTCTCAGATCTCCTTGCACAGACTCACCCAAACCTCTGATTCTTAAAGCATATTCCATTTGTTTATATTGAAGCATAAGAATCTCATCTTGAAAATTTTTCATCTCTTTTTCCATACTTTCAAATTTTTCCTCCATCAATTCCACTTTTTCTACTACTTCTTCTACGCGAGAATTCAACTTTTCAAGAACAGAGGCAACTCCTTTTAAAGCCAAAACTATCTCTTGCCTCAAAGTCTTATTGTTTTCCTCTAGAATCTCTTTCATTTCTCCCCTAATTTGAAGTATAACATCTCCCATCATATCTTGCAAATCCTTCACCATTGTTGACTGTGGCAAAGAAGAAGATGAGGCTATTAATTTAGGTTGTTGCGCTGATGATGACACCAAAGAAGAAGCCACTTTAGAAGCTGTAGGAATTACTGGACGCTTTGGAGCCATCTTAAAAAAATCTTTACTCCTTCTTAAAAATTGCAAAAATTAAACAAAGGAAAAAAGGAAGTTAACTCCATAAAATCAAAAAAAAAATCCTTCAAGAGGAGATCATTATAATAAAAAAAAGAGGAGTTCAAAAAAAAGAAAAGAGAGAAAGAAAAAAGAATAATTAAATAGAAAAAATCCATTCCATTTTTTTAAAAATACAAACAGTACAAAAAACAAACCAAAAAAAATACAAAAATAATAATACTAACACTCCATTCCAATCATTAAAAAAAAAACAAAAAAAGGAAAAGGGAAAGGGAAAAAAGAAACCCCAAAAAGCCTGCCGATCGCCATTCTGCCTTCCGAAAAAAAAAAACACCGAAAAGCTTGCCGATCGCCATTTTACTTTCCCTTTCAACAAAGGAAAAAAAATAAAAAGAGGGAATATAATAGTAAAAATAAATCTTTGAACTTAACATCCAAATAAAATCCAAGAAAGCAAAAACTAAATCCTCTACTCAGCTCTGTCCGCTTCTAAAAAAACTCACCAGTTAACTTTAATCGCGGAGGTGGTTGCAGCGGCTTGTTTTGTCCCTAGGGACAAAAGCAGCTGGGAAGCGGAGACAGTCTGAACTCCGTGGGAGCACTCTTTTCACCCCCCCCAAAAAACTTGGGGGGTGCATAAGAGGCTCTACCACTATTCAGACACCTCTCTACCCCCCCTTTGTCCGGGAGGGGGTTTTTGAACCGCTGAACAGCTGATGTCCGCTGTTCATAGTGATTCAAACACCCAGGAGGACGGCTACAAAGTAGCCGCCATCGCGCGCGCAGATCCACCGGAAGTCACGCATAATCTAATTTCATGGTCAGTGCTCAATGTGTGGAAGTCACTGGATGAGATGGCTCATTCGAAAAAAAAAGTTTGTTTCCCTCATGCCATCACTCTGCTGAACACCTAATTCTTACAGTTCTGTCTAGTGTCTATGTGCATTTATCCATGTTGTATAGCAATAGTAGTATTATTTATATTTATTATTATCTTTACTCGCCCTCTTATTGGGATTATTATAATGATGATTATCATTATTCTGTTGCTTTGCATGTAGACTGAGAACCTCTGTACCTTGTGTAGCTAATCAAACTTGGCCAAATAAAGTATTCAGTTCAGTTCAATTCATTTCAATTCAATATCTGGATCAGCTGCCTGATATAAGTGCCTATCAGAGAAATCTCTATTTGGGCTTTTATAGGACTGATAAAGACTATTCTGCTTTCAGTAACTTTCATTTAAGGCAAGAAAACTCCTAACATGAAAAAAATGTATTATAGCTATCCTTATAGGGATAAAAAAGGCTAAATGAAAGTTCACAAAAAATTAAAATACTTTTTTGATCAATGGAGACGTAATCAACCCAATTATCTTTGCTTCTTTCCCATGCCTTTTTTGTATAGCCTTATAGGAGGTGGCAATTAATTGGTATCTATGTTGTTTGTAAAAGTATAGAAGAAATGGATGAGAATAAGTTTCAAATGCTATTTAATTCTCATATAAAATTAACAAAGAGCAGGAATTTTTAAATCCTATTCTTCTAAGTTGTATATTGTGTATTTTTGTTCCACCAAAGTAAAAAAAGAAGGCATCTAACCTTATATTTGCATTTCCTTTCTTTGGTTGGTTTGTATCCCAGCTTCCCTATTCAAACAATACTTATTTATTCATTTACTTGTCTCCTTAGGGAAAACAGTGAGGAAATACAATATACACATATCTGGAAAGGAATAGAACAGAACAGAATAGAGCTGGAAGGGACCTTGGAGGTCTTCTAGTCCAGCCCCCTACTCAAGCAGGAGAACTATACTATTTCAGACAAGTGACTGTCTAGTCTCTTCTTAAAAATCTCTAGTGATGGAGCGCCCATCTGAAGGCAAGCTGTTCCACTGGTTAATTGTCCTCACTGTTGGGAAGTTTCTCCTTAATTCCAAGGATGCAAAGGAAAAATAATTGGAACTGCAGATTATATTCAATGATTCAGTCCTCAGTGGAAATAGATTATTTTCCCATTTGCAATCAAATGTAAATAAGAAGTTTAGTTGGATGATGTATTCCATTTAAAAATGGATATGTGATATTAATATTCCAGATTAGTGTTGTATTAAAAATGTCAAACCTGGAGTATAATCATTTCATGATCTCACCTATTTTCATGAAAAACCTGATAGATACACAAGCCAAACTCTTTTGGTTCCATCTATCAATAAAATAATGTATTTTCACTTCTTTTTGAAGGAAATGTATAAAGCAAAAAAAAAAAAAAATACATTTAAAGTAGCTGAATATAACCACTATTAGGATTATATGTGTATATGTACAAACATGTATCTATATATACACAGACATACAATGCACTTGATGAAGAAGCACAAAAAATTATGAATAATATTTTACCTTCTTCCCAGTGATCACCAGAGTATACCCATCATTGCCTAGGGAAGTCTCAATAACTTCTGAAGTAACAGGCTGGGAATCTAAATGGAAATTCATGTATGGCATTGTGCGTTCAGAACGAGAGATCACTATCTAAAAAAAGAGAAACATGAATAACAATCATACAATTTATATTCATATCACACAGTGATTTTGATCTACAACTATTGCTTTATGGGGGGGGAGGAAAGAATGGTTGAAATTGCTTTCATAATATGGCCTCTCTTAAAGGAATATAACCATCGGAATATGGCAGAAGCTAGAAAATTTGAATGGAGCATTGGCACTGCAGGAAGGACGTTTAGGCTGCAGATCTATACCAGTTATGACTCTGGTTAATCTTTTTCTTCCCATATCCTTTTTCAGTTCAAATACTGTGCTCTGGATATAATTCATAACAGGTGGATGGAACTGGTTCTTTTTTATTCCAAAGAACTATTGGTAGACATTAATTTTATTGAGAAAACAGTACAGGTGGGAAAGGTGTACGTTCAGTGTCATAGTTTCAACATCAGGTGTTAGCTGCTACAAAAGCATTTCAGTTTTGCAAAAAGCAAAACAGAAAGGACAAGCAACCTTTTAATAAATTTTCTACATCGGAGGTGGGGAACCATGGCCCCTTTATTACTTGTGGACTTCAAATGGCTGGTTCAGGAATTCTGGGAATTGAAATCCACAAGTCATAAAAGGACTATTGTTCCCCACATAACCCCATATAATACAATACAAGGTTTGGAAGTTCATTTTATATTATCTAACAATACAATTATTCAGCATAAAGTAATCTGTAAAAAAAGCTACTTGATTTTAATATTTTATACTTATATAGATACTAAACTGCATTTCTATGACAATGTAGTGTTGATATTCTAAATTGTACAAAAGGTTCCGCTAATATGGAGCTGTAGTGCTCATGGCTAACATGGTTGAAAGACAGTTTGCTACCCTTAACAGGTACATGGCTACATATTAGTTTTCTAAACTCAACCAAAAAAGCTAACATTCTTTAATACTTTATCATTAAGTATCAGTCTAGAAACCTCTTACTATAGCTTTAGACATAAGAGGAATCTGATGAGTACCCATCTATGAAATAAATAGTATCAAGCAAAACAAAAATAAAAAACCAGAACAAAGTTATTTTCTTCATCAGGGCATAAAGACTTTTTAAAAAAGAAAATGCGAAGGCATATAAATCAGTAAAAAAAAGCCCTGAAGAAGTTGGAGGACTGAAGTAGCTGGTACAGTGACAGAGAAGGCACTACCACCTCTCTGCTCCAAATATGTAAGGGGTTTTTTTTAGGTTTTTTTAATCTTTTGTAATTTTAATTCATTTTTATATTTATAATTGTTTTATATCTGTATGTTTTATTATGTTTTATGCTGCTCAGAGTCACCTCAAGCCGCAAGATGGGTAACATATAAATTTAATAAATAAATAAATATTCAAATTGTTTGTTAGCTTCAGTGGCGGTTTTATGGACAGTAGGAAACAATTAATATAAACTTGAATTCACTGTGTAACAATGCAGAGGAAAAATAGTGAAAATATATAACTTTACCATGTTTTTAAAAACATATTTCAGATGTTATTTTGGTTTTGTGATCAGGAGGGAGAATGAAAAATATAAAATATAACAAAGAACACATTGCAAAGCTACATGAAAACCTTGGAATTTACGAGAGGTAAGTCCACAGCTGCAAATACCTTTATTAAGGTCATTTTCTGTCTCTTTTATACCCACTGCTAAATGCCAGGAATGTCTTTTTATCAGTCATTCAGGCTTTTTCTCACCAAAAATTATTTCTTCACTGAGCAATAGTCCTAATCCCCAGAGAACCTCCAAACAGTGCCAGAAGTGTTTTCTGTTGTTGTCATGATTCCAGAAAACTGTTTGGTGTTTAAATTTTTTATTGAAACTTTACTTTTATTCAGTTTGAAATTTGTAGCAAATAAATCTATAAAACTTTGTCCTAGCATATCAGGCTGAAGGTTAAATCTTTACCAGAGGTGCAAAGAGCAGACTTTTTCAACAGTTGTTAGTTTGGAATCCTGTCAAGGACACTGTCACATTTCCTGAAATGCAGTTTATGAAACTAAGACCTAGATAAAAGATGGAAACAACACTGGTCACTCTGATAGATCATGACTTCAGAACCTTCTGTCCCTTTTAGATTTCCTGGTGGCTTTCAATATTATACCATCAATCTGGTATCTTGCTAACAATCCAGAACACGGGTGTCAAACTTGCAACATCACGTGACGTGTTGTGACGTATTGCGACTTTTTTCTCATTGCTGACAATGGGGGTGGGCGCGGTTTTGGCGTGATGCATCCGGCCCATGGGCCAGCAGTTTGACATCCCTGATCTAGAATTTCTGAGATGAAGCGGCACCATTTTATGGTGGTTCTATTATAACCTAATTGGCCAATTCCAATCAATAGCAAGTCCAGTCATGATGAAAGAGCAATCAAGTCCATGGTTGGTTTTGTGAGCAAGTGAAAAATATAATAACATATTTCAAAGCTGCATGAAAAGACAGATTAATCTATATGAATGGACTCAACTTTCCCCTTATGCTTCTATATTTAACATATGAATCTATTGGGAGAGATCATCCATCAATATGGGGTGAGGCATCATCTGTATACAGATAATATCCAGTAATTTATCATCATTCCAGTCAGGCCAGAGATTTTTTAAAAGTCCTCATATGGGGCCTAGAGGCTGTGAGAAACTGCATGGAACAAAACAAACTTAAACTGAATCTCAACAAGATTTGAGATTTAGTGTTAATTCAGAAACACCTCGGCTCTGTATCAGTTCCAATTAGCCCACTCAATACTGTCATCCTTTCAAATAGAGGACCAAATCTGTTACTTGGAGATTTAGACTCATGGTTCCTGTTAGAACAGCAGGTCGAAGCAATGTAGGCTGGGGCACTTCCTGGTATCAGAAATCTTACTGACAGCAATTTATGCCATAGCAAGTTCAACCTGGGGCTGCCTTTGAGACTTTCTGGAACTGCAGTTTGTACAAAATGTGGTACCCAGATTGCTAGTGCGTGAAAGCCATTATTATAATGTAACACAATTTTGTGATTGCTGCATTTGAATACAAATATGTTTGAAAATGCTGCTTTTCACCTATGATGGTCTTCATGTCCTAGTTCTAAGATACTTAAGAGACTTTCTTTTCCTTTTCTGTGCATGAATAAGGAAAGGAAGCTTAGATTTCAAATTTGTCAGAAATCAGAAAGACATTGATCTGAAGAGAATTCTTTTCTTTTATGAAATGGCCCACATGCTATGGACCATGTTGCATTGGAGGTACACCTAGCAGCAGTGGTGGGATTCAAATATGTGAACAACCAGTTCTCTGTGTGGATGCCACTTCTGGAAGTCATTCTGGGCCTGGGCAACAAAAAATTAGTTACCAGTTCTGCTGAACTGGTGTGAACCAGCTGAATCCCACCACTCACTAGCACTCTTGTTAGTGACCTGCTAGGCTGTTGGAATATTTTGTTTAAATAGCCATTTGGATATTTTTTATTAGATTTTAGATTACCATTTTTAAAATGGATTTTGCTGTAGTCATTTTGGTCAAAGCAGTAGTTGTTTTGTTTACTAAATGTAAGAAAAAAAGTAGTGGGAGTGAGAGTGACTTTTGGCTTTTTGCCAGCTTCTCCATTGACTTCAGTTGTATGATCAGAAACCAGAGAGCATCAGAAATCACAAGCACATGACCACAAGGATGCTGCAACAGTCACAATTTTGTGAATAAATTTGGCCTAGACATTGTAAAATCTTCAGTTCCACAGATGGGAACTGAATGGGTCCCAGATTATTTTATGCATTCTTCAAATTAGTGGATTTTAAATACCCTAGTTAAAAAATGTTGCTTTATAATGCACTTTGGGCCAACTTGGGGATACAAACAGAGCTTTAATAGTATAAAGATATGCATCATTTTCTTTTATGGATATCAGGGATAGTATATGCAATTGCTGAGCAGCCATTATTTATGTTGGACTTGATGCCATGAAGAATATAGCAAACTTTCCTGATTAAATGGCTGAGTTAGATTTATAATGCCATTTCTGCTGATATATTCATTTTGCCACTATATAATTACCAATAAATATATAGCAGCTTTTCACAGCAACTCAGAATATTTTAATAATTGCTGTCTATGGAGATGGCAAGTACTGAAGATGACACAGGAGCAAAAGATTAATGTTCCACTTAAAATGAAAGTAAGTAATCAGCCTGGAGTGCATGGCTACCAGATAAATTCTTTCCAGCATTTTATTACTATCAATTTATTTTAATATACATGCAGAACTCTGAATTACCAGTTAAATCCTACATGTGTCTGCATATCATTATTTTAATAAAAATGAATGAAGTAACTTTTTGTCTTTTAATAAAACGGTACATAACTTTTTATCACAATCTGGATCAACATTGGCAACTATCTGTATGCAATTTAAGACTTTTTTAAATAAAAATGAGTTTGAAATGAAATCAAGTTCTGCCTGGTTTTTTTTGATGGATCTCTGGCAGGTATAAACCACTATCCAGAAGAGATATTCTTAAAGTATATTATATTTCACAATATTTTCAACATGACCTTCTAAAAGTAACACACATGAAGATCACTTTAGCTATACACATTTCTAATCCATTCAATGTAATGGCATTATTTTGAGAATTTTAACCATTACAATGTTATATTAGAAAAAATAGTTGCTTCAAAATAATCACCAACTTTCAAGAATTGGTTTTATTTCAACATTTCTCATGCTAAGCACTCCAAACCTACAGTAGCTCTCATAATCTGTGGAATGACTTAACTGTTGGACAATTCACTTGGACTACGTTTTTTGCTACTATCATTAAATTTTACGTAACTTAAGCATACACTATTCAAATGAAGCAACTGTTTCATGAAAAGAATTGTACAATAGTTTAAATGAAACAAGTAGATAAGACTGAGTATTCTGTACAGGTGAAAACTATGGCTATATTAGCAGCAAAGGATCAGTCCAACACCAAAATAAACCCAATGATCTACATTTTATGTTTTATAAGATCACACCTTATAATACTGTTATTCCTTATGTGCAAAATCCCCAAATATCTGTAAAACACCGAGATAGATCAAATATATAATTCCAAGAATGGTGAAAGAATAGATATCTAAAGTATCATTGATCTCTTACAGACAGTGAGAACATGACCAGACAGATTATGGCCCTTTTTGAGAAACATCAATCAAAGGAACATAGAACTTTATAACAATGATTAGCCTTCAATGGACAAGACTCAACTTTTACCCACTGAAAATCTAACTCAGTGGTTCTCAACCTTTCTAATGCCGTGACCCCATAATACAGTTCCCCATGTTGTGGTGCCCCCCAAGTGGGTGTGGCCACCAATAAGAGGGAGTAGGACAGCTAGGGAAAAGGGAACAAAATGGTGGACAGCATAGTTTGGCGACCCCCATGAAATGGTCGTTCGACCCCAAATGGGGTCCTGACCCACAGGTTGAGAACCACTGATCTAACTCATAATATTGCTGGTTGAAATGGTATAATTCTTTTTATTTAACCACTGAAAAATATCCAATTCACTTAGCACTCAACAGCTGTACTGAGATTGAGTTCCCAGCCAAGCACCAACCACAATTACAATTGTAAGAAGCAGAAACAGCTGCAAAATTATGTTGGGGTGGGTGGGAGGAGGAAATGGAAAGAAAAGGGAAAATCTGTAAGAAGACTTATCATACAGCTTAGGGTGGATATAAAATAAATTTCTTTTCTTTCTCATGTATGACAGCTGTCTTAGTCAAATTATTAGCAGTCTGTTTTGTAACAGAAACTCAACAATATTTTATCAGCTCTGAAGTCAAGGATATTTAAGAACCAGTACAAAGTTTTCACACTTTTATTTTAGCCAAAACAATTATGTACATGACTGTGCTGCACGTGTTCCAACAGGAAAAAAATATTCCCTGTTCCCAATACAATTAGGCTCTAAAAAAATAAAAGTGTAACATTGCTGTCTGTATTTCAAATACTACATCTAGTTCCAAGACTGATACTTAATTACCTTTAGCAGCTGGTATAAACTTTATTGATTTTTTTGGTTAATAAAGTGACTTGATCTTCAAAATAAAAATAGAAGTTCTTAATTGGAAAGGATATGTTTTCAGTAGTTCAGTATATATTACATAGACATATGCAATATTTGATAAAGAGATAGTATCCTTTTTTTCTTTTAGAAAAATTAGACAAACTGAAACATTTGTCCTCTGATTTCTAGCTAATATGCTGATATATTTGATTTATCTAACATTATTGGAATGTTTCTAGGTAGGTAATAACTATAGACAAAGCAGACATCTGGTGGTCTTCTACTGACTCTGTTATTTTGGTTGGGGAAAAATAGTAATAATTTTAATAATACAGACATTCTAGCCAAAATTAGATTACTGTAAATTAATGTCTCAATGTTTATGTTTATTTGTTTAAAAAACTGGGGGGGGGGATTGCATTGATGTGGCCTAACTGACACACATGATTCATCAGCAGCATATGTTGTTTGAATGCAGATTACAACATGACTGCAAATTTTAAAGTAGCTCAAGACCATTGTTTCATCTTTGTTTCTTGCTGCTGCACTCTTGAGTATTACAACTGTCAAACTCAGTTGCTTGACACACAGAAATTCTGTCAGTAAAGGTTTCTTTCCCTGACATATCAATGCTATAGGGAATAGATGCTCACTGGCAAAGGCTATGCTTGTCCCACAAGTGTTTAAAGACCTCAGAGACCTAATAGGAAAAAAAAAATGCTGGCAGTGAGAAAATGTTAGAAAACAGATGTAAAGTACCTAAATTTCTTGGCAATTACCTGTATTCTACAATGCCATGCCCAAAGAACTGAAGTATAATTTCTGCAGATTATGAGTTGTAGTGTTAAAACATTTGAAAGGCATTGTGGCTATTGATGGCAATTTGAAAGTCTGCCTCATTAAATGTGCACAATAATATAATCAAAGCTGATTTGTGTCCCAGCCCAGTTATTTCAGAAGCTCAATGAATAGCAAAGGACTATTTGGGAAGAAACTACCATAGGGTTGCACTATCAGGATAGTTATTTCTGTTAAGCACTCCACAGGTTCTAATGCTTAGCAGAAAGCTCAAATACGAAGATTCAGAAATTGTAACAGAGCTTTTCATTTTTTTTAAAAAAAAATCTTCATTTCTTTACTGCAGTTTTTACAAAAAAGTCAATTGCTTAGCTTACCTGCTAACAGCATATTAATTATGCAATTCTGTACTAATTACATATTAACATTTTGTTAATAATTATGCCAGTCATGTCTAAGCAGAGTGTATTTGGTTTATTCTAATCTATAATCATTGTCCTTCTCCTGAGATTAAACTGTTTATTATTGATAACCCCAATTAATAGTATACAAGAATACATTTGAAACTATTTCCCATGGAACTATTTACTTAACAAAATAAAGGAAATCCTATATATGCTCTATAATATTTACATCCTTTCTCTTATTTTTTATGCCTAAAAGATGCATCACAAGGTAAAATATATTATTAAGAACAGATAAGATGTTACTAAACATTAAAAGAAATTCATATGTTTTGGACTTTTGAATAAGTCAGACTCTTCTAACAAAAATGGGGAAGGAGGGGAAGACTCCACAGGTTATTACAATACAATCTCAAAGACAATTTTTTCTCAGTAATTCAATACAGTAGATATAGACATTTCTGCTAATGGCACAACATATTTCAGACAATAGCATTCTTTTTAGTCCCTTGACTGGCCTTAACAAAGGAAACGTGCTCTGGAAGTATTGTGAAAGATTTTCTAGAGTTCAGTGTAGTGAGGACAAAATGTTGTATGAAATGATCTGGCTTATGACAGAAATGAATAAGAACACTATTCTGAAATAGGAAAATCTTATTTTTATTTCTGTGAAAAGTATAAAAAATGTTTACATCAAGTGTGGCACTTTGAAGGAAACTATAACAAATCTCAGAATTCTATTCCCCATATCACATTTAATTATAAAACAGTTAGCTGAATATATTACCCTACTAATTGTCCACACATTGCTGACTTTTCTTGCAAAGCAACTGGAGAGCTACAGTCTGCAATAGTTAAATTTGTTGGTTGCTATTTGAATGAGCTATTCAACTTATAAAAAAAGGATTTCAAGAGCTTGCACTCACCGAAATTTTCAATGCCAGAAACTAATACCTAAATAGAATGGTTTAGCTGTACGTTTAAAAAGACAAAACTTAATTTCCCCCCCAAGATATTTATGAATCCAGATGTACTGTATTACTCACCATGCTAGTGCATAGAACATTTTCATTTATTTTTTGAAGAACAGGATAATTATATCATACTTCATACTTTGGAATAAAAAGGTTTTTTTTCTTTTTTAAAAATAATTATTTTAATTCTGTTGATTAAACACAGGAATAGAACTCACTTGAAAAAAATAGAATTACAGGTACTTGGGAAACTTCTGAATCAGAGCACTAGTAAAGTTATGGTATACAGGTAGTTCTCTGGTTAGTCATTCATCCAGCAACTATTTGAAGTTATAAAAGAAGTTTTTAAGAAGAGATTGGTCAGCCAATTAATTGTCCGAAATGGTATAGGGTTTCCTGCCTGAGCAGGAGGTTGGACTAGATGATCTCCAAGGTCCCTGCCAACATTGTTATTCCTATTCTTCCTATTACTACTACTACTATTACTACTACTACTATTACTACTACTACTATTATTATTATTATTATTATTATTATTATTATTATTTATTAGACACTGAATGAGTGGGACTTATGACGGTCATCAGAGATTCAGCTGTCACACTATTCCCACAGTCATGTAATCACAATTTCTCACATTCTCTGCCAACTTCTCACAAGCAAAGTCAATAGAAAGCCAGGAGGAACTCTAAAATTGCAATCATATGAAATGTGGATCATATGAAATGTGGATCATATGACCCACATAGTCCTTGTGTAACAACAGCCATTGTGACTACTGGAATTGCCCTTGTTAAGTGATTAGTCATATGACATTATACCATGTCACTTAGTGATGTGTCCCAATTGCTCTCATATCCGAAAGATTACCTGTATCAAGAGATTGCTTTAGGACCTGGTAGCAAAGCCAGAAACAGTGGAGGCTAAGTTGAACAAAAAATAATATAGGAGATATTCTACTATAGATGAAATAAAGTCATCACTCTACTTCAAATTAATTATTGGTTTTAAATTGAGCATAGTTTTTATTTCATGACTGCTTTCTTCACCTTAATCTGTATTACCATTTAAAATTTTTGGACTGACTTTCCCATTCAAGGATGATTCCTTTCCTTCCCAGCCTTAGCTTTTACTGACTGGATTTGTTCTAAAAAACCCCGAGCAGTACAATATTATATTGCTTACCTGCATAAAGCGTCCTTCAGATGTCCCCAGATTTGCTATAGTAAGATCCCCTTTAATGAAGACAGATATAGAAGTTAAGAGGACAGTGTTGAATTGCTCAGTGAATAAGTCAATTCTCTGCAAAGCTGTAGTAACCTCCACTCGATACTCGTCATCTTGAGCTCCACAGTAAGAGGTGTTCCTTGAAAAATTCTGCAAGAAAACTAAATTTGTTTCAGCAAACCAGAGAGGACAGTAGGAATGACAGTATTTCAGTAGCTGACAATGTGGTAGAAGACCAGGAATATTGACTGAGTTTTGAAAACAGTTTTATTAGATTTTAAAAGCAAGACAGTATTATTAAGTTGCACAATTTACATGGTATTATGGAGATCTTTTTTTTTTTTTTTACTACTTAGTGATGTTCATGCTTTTTCAAATATTTCTAAACTGTCACACAAGGAATCCACAAACACCAGTGGATGGCCAAAATCCTCTGCATTCTTTTAGATCTCTGGGCTTGAAAGGCAAGAGGCTGAATTCTCAGTTGCCTATTCAAACCAAAAATAATATAGCTAATGATATAACTAAAACAGGGATACTTCATCCTTTACAAATGTATTTCTTACAAAGTTTCTTCTAGATAGAAAGCATGTTAATATAATGCCAGCAAATAAGATTTTAGAATGTGTTTGTGGGCAATTGAATAAAAAGTAATTGCAGAATTTTGATAAATCCATAACATCTTGCTTCATATATAACTATCTCAAGACTCATATACGGTCTACTGTTTACCCTACTTTATATGTCTTATTTGTACTAAGTCAGATGGCTTCTTGGAATCTACACAAAGAAATAGCGAAATAGGTCATTAATAATGGTAGGCTGCTGTACTTTGGATTATGGAAGCCCCAGACTTGGAATGTGGTGGAGGTAGCAAAGATGGCACCTGCAAGAATTTACACCATTTGGTGATTGGCTGGCAGCTACAGCAGCATTCTGTGAAGTGTGTTTGGCTTCCAAAGCTGGCTGAAGGTTTTGCATGGCCACTTCCTCTGATCAACCAAACACAAATCTGCTCATGGACTATTTTGTTTTGAATGTGATTATGAACTGTGAAGAGGCTTTTTTGGGCATCTAGAGGCTATACTATGGTCAAGAGAGTGTGGGGTTAATTGTGCTCCAGAGGATCCTGGGTGAAATGGATTATCTGAACTCCTTTCATTCAGGTTTCAGGATGGATACAGGATGGAAATGGTGTTGGTGATGATCATCATTTTTGATGATTTCTGGTGGGAGCAGGATGTGGGTAGTACATTCCTGCTCTATCAATATTACTATTGATCATGGTATCCTTCTGGAGCAACTCTGGGGTTTGGGAATAGGAAGCACTATGTAATCTAGTTCACTTCCTTCCTCAGAGGCTCTTTTCAGTCAGTGATGATTGAGACTGAGAGGTCCAATTTGTGGCCCCTGCTCCAAGAGTTCCAGAGGAATTGGTGCTTTCTCTATTCCTGTTTAATATCTACATGAAGCTGCTAGGTGAGATCATCAATCATGTTGATGATACTGTTGTACATTTCTGCAAATGATGAGTTAAATGATGCTATGATCTTTTTCTTAGTACCTGGAGGTTGTTGAGGTCTGTGATTGCTTCCTCCTATCTAATATTATTTCCCAAATATAAGATTAATATGATACTTTTCCAGAAGGCCTTGAAGACATAGTTCTGCCAGTGGGCCTTGGAACCCCAGGTTGATCAAGTGGCTGTTTGATTGTGTTTGCTTCTGCCACAGGGATGATTTTGTTGTTATGGGTTTCTGTACAGTGGATTTTTTATTTTTTAAACCAACCAGAATTGCCAGCCAGATAAATTTGTTTTAATAAATAAACAATGCTAAATAAATTTATTAGTCTGGAAATATTTTAATTAACTCTTTTTATGTTGTAATTTTTATTACCATAATATATTTTGTTTTCAATCCTGTAATTCATCAAAAGGAAATGCATACTTTTCTGACAAATTATTCTCATAATATATCTTGGTAAATTGGGCTTAAAAAGTCTAATTATGTTACCTTGACACTTCAATAATAATCTATTAACTGAACCATTTACCATTGATGCTTCATTTCTATTGCACATAATAAACAGAGACCATTTAGCATTTTAATACTGGAGAATATATGATATACTTCAGTTCTAGAATATGACTGGAGTTATACACAACAATGTAAAAATAACAAAAATGTAGCTGTCTTCAAAAATCAATATTATACTCATTATTTTTATTGAATATTAAATTTAAAGATTAGTTTTAAAATTAGGGTGTATTATCCCATGACTGATTACATATGGAAAAAGGGAATGTGTCCTTTAAAAAGCAAACCAGAATGTGAATGATAACAATTCTATTATTTCACATTTCAACTGGAAATCAAATTTTTAAAATGTTAATTGCCAACAGAATTTGGTCATCTTTTCAAAATACATAGCTACATCACAATGTCATATTTTTTGATGTACATAAGCTATGGCTCTAATGCTGCATTTTTGCAACATCGTCATCTAATTAAAATTATGCACTTGACCAGGAGCAGAGAAACTGGATTTTTAAAAATTCAAGCCCTAAAATCTCTTGCCATGTATAGTTATAAATGTGGATAATAGATATTCAAAACATTTTTGGCATCTCCTTGCCCTCAACTAGAAGAGCCAACTATACCACTGAGTATCAATTACTCTAGGAGGTTTTTCTCTTGAGTTGAACATTCTAAGACTATTGACAGAGCATTCTAAAGGAAGATTGAAATTCCATTCCCTATTATGTAATAAATATTGACCCAGAATCTGCAATTCACTTTTCCTCTCCCCATTGCCACTCCAAATAGGCTTCAAAAGAAATCCACATTTCAGAGCAGATTCTAAGGATGCATGGGGTTTGTTGAGACAAGATTGTATTGCATGCTAACAGCCAAAGGTAATACAGGCAGTATAAAATACTTTCCTCTCTTATGCAGACAAACACAGATGCATTTCAGCAGGCCCTAGTTAGTTTTATTCATTAAAACTTATTAAATTTATTCAATCATTTCATGCATTCATTTCATTCATTCCTTCTATCCCGCTTTTCTTTTTTTTATTATTTTATTTTTATTTTTAACCAACAAGACAAAACAGAACAAAACAAAACATAACACACATATACACAATATATATATACTCCTCCTTTTTTACAGCAATTACATAACGGTAATCTAATATTTACATTTCCCCTTTATTCTTCTTTAGAATATTTGTCCTTATAGCCCCGTTATTTCTTATTTACATTTTTCTTCCTTAATGTTCTACTTCTTACAAAGAATAATTCATATTATTATTATACATTATTATACACATTTTCACTTTTGAGCTTTCCATATTTGTTCTCCTCTATTAATTCTAGTCTCCAATCAGACATACAACTTGTTCCATACTATATAATACTCTGTGTCTTCCTTTTCTTTTATCTCTTTTGTTAATTTGTCCATCTCAGCACAGTCCAGGATTTTTCTTATTACTTCTTCCTCTGATGGTATATTCTCATTTTTCCAGCACTGTGCATATGCTATTCTTGCCGCCGTTATTATATGTAAAATTAAGTACCATATTTCTTTACTATATTTTCTATTTAAAATATCCAACAAAAAGATCTCTGGTTTCCAGTCTATGGGTTGGTCTATTATTTCTTGGATCCATTTTATTATTGTAGACCAATATTTTTTTGCAACTGGGCATGTCCACCATAGATGATAATATGTTCCATATGCTTTTTTACATTTCCAGCATGTTGGCGAATTATTCTGGAACATCTTGGCAAGCTTTGCTGGTGGAAGATGCCATCTGTAAAACATCTTCAACTGGTTTTCCTTGAATGCCGCCGACATAGTCAATTTTATATTTATTTCCCATATTTTTTCCCATTTCTCCAATTCTATATTATATCCGAAATTTTTTGCCCATCTAATCATTGTGTCTTTGACAACCTCGTCTTCCATTTTATATCTCAATAGGTATTTGTATAAATTGCTACTCGTAATTAATTTTATTTCTGTTCCATGTATAATTTTATCCAATTCTTGCGGCTCTTTTTGGATTTCATATAATTTATTCATTCATTTCATGCATTCATTTCATGCATTCCTTATCCCACTTTTCTTTACAGCAGGCTTTGATGATTCCAGAATGCTAAGCAAGGTCTGACCTGCTTAGAACCTTGATGGGAGACCATCAAGAAATCTTGCAATGTCCTGTAGTTTAAATGAGAAGTTTAAAAAAAATCCACTACCCTCGAGAGAAGTAATAACAAACCACTTCCTCCTAAGTGCTTTGAGAAGTGCTTGACTTGGAAGACTCTTTCTCTTTACCTGCTTTTTTGCTCAACTGGAACACTGAAGGTCCCCATGGAAAGAATACATTTGTTTTGCAAAAGGTCTAAGTTAATTGTTTAGAAATCAGTTTTAAAATTAGGGTGGAGGGGCCATGAGGCTCCAGAGTGAAAGGCACATAATGGCAAGTGTACAGTTGGATTCCAGCTGTATACTCTAAATGGATAAAGGCAGCCTTAAAACATTTTTAATTGCCATTTCAATGGTTAAATCTTTCAAAGCCACTTATCAAGCAATATGCCACAGGAGAGTATCCCTATCATTTAATTTATAAGAGATAATTATGTATTTCAGTTTCACTTCCTCACCTCAAACTCCCTAAATTATTCAGTTGGCAGACAAAATGGAAAATTAATTTATCTCTGGATTAAACATACATATATTTACTGCCAAATTTCAGTGACAAATCTCACAAATATTGTAGCTCAGTAAATGTTTTACTGGTATGTGGCTTACTTTTATTTCTTCCTTTCATGCACTTGAGTGAAAGTACAAAGTCCATTTGTGACTCATTCAGGAAAAAGAACTGCATCTGATGTAGGTCAAACTGGAATGTGATGATACAAACTCATTTCCTTCTTGTCCAAACTTAAATTATATTTTACTTGCTCATACAATGATCTGTGAAGCTACTCTACAACTAATCTTCACAATATGGGTCTTCAAATTAATTTATTTTTTTGTTGTTGTTTTTTAAATCCCTTTACTTTAAATGAATGTTATTACTTTGAGCAAGGATTAGTTTTAATTATGAATAACCCATTTCCAATAAAAACACACAAGGAA